TTACTGGCAGTTTAAAAAGGTTTTTACTAATGTGCACATTAAGACATTACACCCACGTACTGTGACATTGCCGAGGATGGTGGGACCCACAAAATTGCCATTCTCGTAACCCTTGACCTTGACGTTTCGGCCGTCCAGGAGCAGCTGGGCTCCCTCGTCCACACCGCTCTGGATCAGACTGCAGACTCTCTCCTTAGCCTGCGGAGAGATCAGAGGCCCCACGTCTGCCCCAGGCTGGTCTCCTAGCGGGGCCCCACAAACAACCAGCTATAAGGTTTCATACCATGGCATTTGTATGATGTGAGCACATAAGTTGATGCTGACATTCAAATATGTCTTTTGCTACAAACACGCAAAACCAGGACGAGGGGCACCCTGAGGCACTCCCTCAAAAATTGATACTTAAGGGTTTCCTGTGTACTACAAAAATAAGAGTCCATATCACTGCAGGCAGGGATAATCATCTATTTTACTCCGCATCAACTTCCTTTTCTCGAAGGGACTTGATGCTCTGAACCGCTATTTAGGTCTTGGCCGCAGATCTGGCCACACATTTGCAGCAGGGCTGACTAAATGAGCCCTCGCTCCCAGCTGACTCCAATGTGAAGTTACAACACGGCAAAAGGCGAGAGGTGTGGTTAAGGCAGCGTGGGTGGCCCCTAATTGACTAAACCCAAGGCCCTCGGGGGGAACAAGGGCTCGGGAGAGACAGATGAAGATCTGGGTGATGGGGTGCAGTACCTGCGTTCACGCGCAGAGCCTTAGAGCGCTCCACCAGCTCCGGCAGCCAGCTACGGGCCTCGCCCACCAGGATGGCCGTGGACAGAGCCATGCAGCGCTGCCCCGCTGCCCCGAACGCTGCACCAACCAGCTGGTTCAGAGTGTTCTCCTTGTTGGCGTCAGGCATCACCACACCATGGTTCTTGGCTCCCTACAGTACAAGAAAAGTGGTTAGCCAGCTGCTGTTTAATCTCTTTACAGCAGCTGCTAGTCACAAATCAGAACATAATATTAGGAAAATTAGGAAATGATGTACAAACACGGAAATGCTGTATAGTAAATGTGTTTGACATTTCAGTCCATAATATAGATTCAGTTGACTGACATAAATCTAAATAATAGATGGCACATTTATAATTGTGGCTCTTGAACGTAGATGCACAGCTGGAGTCTCATCCGTACAGCTGATAGAGAGGAGGAACAAAAAAGGATCATCTGTTGGCCAATGCTGCCACCTGCTGGACATTCACAACATGTGTTGGACTCTCGTTTGATACTCACCATGTTGGACTGGACCCTCTTGCCATTTTTAGAGCCCCTCTCATAAATGTACTCCCCCGCTTGATTGGAGCCAACAAAGCTGATTGCCTTGATGGCCGGATGGTCGCAGATGAAATTCACAGCTGTGAAAGAAAGACAGCAGCTGTGATAACTGAGATGTCTATTTAATAACGACAGTGATTAATAAGTGATATTTAAAAGTGTGTATCCGCATTACAGAGTATATGACAAAAGAAGAAAAATTGTATTTATTGAAGGATCAATAAATAATAATAAAAAGGCTCACTGTCGATCAAAATCTCAAGATTTATTTTCTGTGGAAAAACTAAGATTAAAGAGAAAAAGCAGCAAAAACATTTTTGCCATGCATAAAATAAATGGTAAATAATATTTCAATAAAAACTCATCAGAAGCTTTTTGTTTAGTCGTAGATTAACAAATAACCAGTAATTAGCCATATTTTCAATAAGGAAATTGATTTGTTTGGATTTGCTAAACGTCAGAGGGGTCAAAGGTCAGTGTGTCTCTGTACCATCATTACCTGTGATGCTTAATAGACTGAAGTTTCAGACAGAGAGTATGTACATCATGTTTCCAAGTGAACATGTCAAGATGTCACATATTTAGTAAATGTGGCCTTAATCATCTGCCCTATACAATATGTTCCGACAGTAACTAAAGGTAACAGAGACCAACTCTCACCGTCGTGTTGGCCGTGGATGAGGTTGAGTGTCCCGTCCGGAGCTCCGGCATCCTGGATCATCTTGGCCAGCAGCATGGCGCAGCCCGGCACCCGCTCGGACGGCTTCAGCAGGTAGGTGTTGCCAGTCACCATGCCCATAGGGAACATCCAGAGAGGGATCATGGCGGGGAAGTTGAAGGGTGCAATGCCAGCACACACCCCGATAGGCAGGCGGTAAGTGTAGGTGTCCATGTCTTTGGTGATGGAGGGCAGAGTCTCACCGAGCATCAGAGAGGTTATGCTGCAGGCGTGCTCCACAACCTCTGCAAAAACAGTAAACATAGATTTATTTGTAGCATACAAACTGTGTGTGTGAGTGTAAATGATCTGCTTTACTGAGACAAGTATTGAGTGTGTTGACTGCGTGGAAGTCCAGACAATGTCTAAAAAACTATTTCTGAAAATGATTTAATAAGAGATTAGGCTTCCTCAATGTAGAATATATTGTTCTGGTGAAATGAGTGAAAGCTGAATCAGATATATTTCAACAGTCAAAAAAAGTATTCCATATTAATCCCACATTAATAACCAGCAATCACTTGTGGCAATCATTCAAAGCCTTCAGAAAGAAACTGCCCTTTGTTCTGGTTTAGTATCACTTATTAACTACTCCTGCAACCACAAACTGAAAGCCTGCCTAAAATGTAGCATGGCTTAAACGCTTACATGTTTGTTGCCCTTTGTAAAAGGTGCAATACTGTATGTGCATGTGTGTGTCTGTGTGTGAGTGAGTGAGATAAGCTTACGCAATCCTCTGAACACATCCCCCTCTGCATCTGCAAGGGTCTTGCCCTGTTCCAGTGTGATCGACTTGGCAAGTTCTTTCTGAAACAAAAGTTTGGGCCCTTCTTATTCCTTTTCTTAGATGTTATCTGAACTACAGTTTTATTATACAGTTTAAACAGCAGGCTCTGAACTAATGTGGAAATGTTCAAAAAGCAAATTTGCAAAAAGTAGTGAATTTAAACTTCAAGTTGAACAGTCCTAAATGGTAATGTCTTGTTTCCAGTTGCACCTTATTCAACCTTATACCCTCTGACTTACAATGTTGTCCTTGATAATCTGCTGATAGCGCAGAAAGACCTGCTGCCGGGCCAAGATGGAGGTCTCAGACCAGGAGCGATAAGCTCTGGAGCAAGAGTCCACGGCAGCCAACATCTCCTCCTGGGTGGCTTTGGGTACTCGGGTGATCACCTCGTTGGTAGCCTGCAGAGGAGACAAAAAAAGGAACGTGTAAATGTACGTTATTATTCTAAAGATTACTTTTTTCAACCTGCAGGGAATGTTGGAGTTCATTCACATTAGGTAACAGGTGAATCCTAGCATATGTTTAACTTAGATATGTGAGCTTTCCTAAACTTGCAGGTCAGAGTTCATCAGTAACACATTACTTGATTTCCCCATTCAACCCTTAAGAAAACATTTATGATTTTTAGGTGATGACTTGTAATCCAAGTGTTGCTGAAATTTAATAAATATTCCCCTATGACAAACAGTTTTTTTGTTATAACATGTTTTTTTTCATCATTCTAAATTAATTTTGATGTGTTAATACGTAATGAAAGATAATGGGAATGTGCTTTAATAGATAGGCCAAATACACATTTCTACATTTGCAAATTTGCTAAAGGTTATTGGAGGATGCTCAACTTCTAAAACCAGTTTATACCAACAGGCAAGGACATTATCTAACACGTGAGATTAAGCAACTCCATAGATTTTGCTGTTTAAACCATGTTTGAGCTACCAAACCACAGTTTAGCATAATGAAGCCCTCCAGCTATAGCAGGATGAACCAAGTATTGGATGTTGCCAAGTACAGTACAGTACAGTTTCTTGATCCAGGACAGGTGGAATACTTACAGGATTGTGTATATCCAGCCATTCTGAGGTTTTGGATTCAACAAACTTCCCATCAATGAATAGCTTGGTGGTGGGCTGTGGGGAGAGATGTAACATCATGTATAGTTGACCTTAAAGATAGCAGGTTAATGATCAATGTGTGAGATTTTATGTAAAGTGTAATTGCAGCCTGACAATTAAGTGTAAGCCGTTCTCAACTCACCACTGAGGAGTAGCACATGCGGCCAACTTGAAGTGGGACCTGAGAAAGAAACACAGTAGGACGTCTGAATTTACAGATGCAATGAATATCATCCACCCGTCCAAAAACAATAATCCTAGGTTTGGCTACATACTTTGTAAAACGTTTAATACACATAAGCAGCTCCTTCCAGTTGCAGACTTTTAGACTGTTTGCAGACTGGAGGCTCACAAGATTAATGAGCAACTAGGAGACAGAAATGGCTTGAGGACAAAGTCAAGTTTATTGAAGTAGAGTTCAATCAAATATTAACACAGAAAAGTAAACCACTTGCTTCATACTATAAATTATCTCATTAAAGTTGATGCATTATCAAAATGTCACATAGAATATCCTCTAAAGAGAAGTTCATCTGTGAAACAAATGCCTAAAGCAACCCAGACCTAAATCCTGCAGCACATGATTTACTGTACTGTAAACAAAGTGAGCTGTCAAACCTGCCTGCGTCATTTGCAACTGAGGGGAGAAATAAACCATAAAATACTTTGATATCTTACCTTTGCCTTTAGCGCTGATCTTAATGCGGTGGTCGCCATAATGGACATGTTACTACGAACTTGTTTGGTCCAACTCCGCAGGTAGGACGGTGGCCAGCCAAAAACAACATGCAGCTATCTCCCTCACTGAAATGTATTACCAGTGGGCGGGCTTTTACAAAATCCAAGCTTGCTATTCGCTCCATGGTCGCACTTCCACGAATAGTGGAAGTCTGATTGGTCAACTGTGGGTGCGTTCTATCAAATCGCTAGATGAGGAATTATATAATCCCGCCTCAACTCTGAAACTCGACTTTTCATTGGATAAAACGCATTCACGTTAGTTACGCAACCCGGAGCTGAACTGTGCCCCCACACTGCTGCTAAAACTCAGGAAAGCTAGCTTGAGTCAGACTGAGAGCGACAGAGATTTGCCTCTTACCCGAGCAATGTTCATGACATTATGTAATTAGTGAACGTAAGAGACTGTTCTGTTAAATGTGAAGGACATAATCGACGTCTAAGCAGCACAGCTTATCCTGAACATTAATGCGATAAAGTTACCACAGCCACAACAATGCACTTGTCCTTAGTTTGCCTCGCCAAGGTAGCCTACTGTTATTCCACTGTTAGCTGTTTGCTAAGTGTGTGTGCACCAAATGTGAACCAAATGAAGGCCAGATGTTGCTTAGTCATGGGCCAAAGAGTAGGTAGGAGGGATTTTAGGAGCACATCCTATTGGCTACTGGAGGATGATGTTAAACTAGAAAAACTGCAGTAGTGGATTCAGTATAGTTTAGTTAAAACTCGAGGAAGATAGCTATGGCAACTCAAGACAAGGTGAACCAGTAGACACAAGAAACGGTAACTGTGTAATGCGATATCCAAATAGACTAAAGTTTCTGTTTTGTTTTCTTTGTAGCCTGTTCTTCATGGATACTTCAGAAGTTCCTGCTCCTGGAGGGTTCGCATTGGTAAGTTATGTCAAGGAATCTGACAATTTATCTGTAACTTGACGCATTTTCAATTCAACAATTTAATCATTTATTATTTGTGCATCAGCTTTTGCTCTAAAAGGCATTGAATATGACCAGGTTCCAGTCCATCTGATCAAAGATGGGGGTCAGCAGGTACAGTTTAGACACACGCGATAAACCTCAATACAGAAATAATATATTGTTTGTGACAATTAACGTTTTTAGTCTAACCAAAGTTCTTTATGTGCTCAAGCATACTGAACAGTACCAGACATTAAACCCCATGCAACAAGTGCCTGCAGTTGAAATTGATGGCATCACCCTTTCTCAGTCAGTGAGTCCCCAAATGCTTTACCTACAGTATGTAATCCTATAAAACACATGTTATTTAACCAACTTGAAAATGACTGATAATGGTTTCTTGCCCACACAGCTGGCAGTGATCCAGTACATCGATGAGACCAGGCCAGGGCCTCCACTTCTCCCTGCAGACCCAAAGAAACGTGCCCAGGTCCGGATGATAAGTGACATCATTGCCTCTGGTATTCAGCCTCTGCAGGTGAGAAGACAAATTATGGTATAGTCAGACTAAAGCAGAAAGTTCAGGTGTGACATTTTCTATAAAGGTCACAACACATGTTACTTAATAATGAATGTCTGTACATTTTCAGAATTTGCACGTGATTCAGAAGATGGGAACAGAAAAGGTACAGTGGGCCCAGCACTTCATTGATCGAGGCTTTCAAGGTAGGTAGAGGCCCATCTTCTAAAAAATACATTTGGCACCTTATTCTAAGATTCATCAATTTTCATTTGCAATATGAACATCTGTTTCAGCTCTTGAGCCCCTTCTGAAGCAAACAGCAGGAAAATATTGTGTAGGTGACGAGGTAAGAGGCATGACTAATTTATTTTTGATTGATCAAATGTATATGTATGATTGTTGTATACATATTTGAATAGTTTGCAATACTATTTGACTTATATTAATCCTGTTACCTATAACCTGACAGAGGCTTGAAATAAGCCCGGTTGGTTTTCCTTCTGTTCCTGCAATGTGTATCTTTCTATATAATCTTATATCATTTCATTCTGAAAAAGATTGTATGGAAACATATTGAAGCTTTACAGCAGTGTGATAAACAGACTTTTATATCCGACTTATTGTTTACCTTTCAGATATCCATGGCAGACATCTGTCTGGTCCCACAGGTCTACAATGCAGAGAGGTAGGTGATCAGAAATGTAATTAAAACTGATACATAAATACCAGATTAACACTCAGTCTCCCTGAACAATTAGTAATCAACATGAATTTCATTGCAACAAAAAGGGAATACAAAAAAAGGGATCATTACTATATATATTTAATAGTTTTTTTAATTACCTTTGTTTACGTGCCATTAGTTGCTTTGCTCAACATTCAACAGGCTACATAGAAGCATGACCCCCCTCTGTCTTTAATCTCTACAGGTTCAAAGTGGATGTCGAGCAGTATCCAACTATCAAAAGGTTGAATGAAACCTTACTTGAGATTGAAGCTTTCAGAGTGAGCGACCCGTCCTGCCAGCCGGACACACCCGAGGACCTGCGAGCATAGAACTACTCAGCAGCTTAAAACAACTTTGTAATAGTCATTTGTAAAAAATAAAGATGCTTTGGAAATAATCACATTTTCTTTTGTGTTACTTTAGATTAGAAGACAAGGAAACTTTGAGTTAAAAAAATATTTATTGGCATTTCATATACATTTTGATTTTATCCATTGTACCCAGTCCATCAGTTTACCCTCAAATAAATATTGATATGTGGAGACAAGGTAGAGGACATTAAGTAATGTGCAAAACATGCAGAGCAGAGATATTTGTTATTCAAAGTTCAAAACCTCTAAGTTTACTGCTTGGAGAGTATTGACTGAAAGAGGTATGTATGTTTTTAAAAAGACACAAAAAAAAAAAAGGAACAATAGCAGAAGATCACATCATGCAACAATTACATTATATGAAGTAAAGACAAACAACCAAATAGAAAAATAACTTGTAGATACAAACACCTGCAGAAACATATTTTTCTGTCATGGCAGACCACAGCATCCTCTACCGTTTAAAAAAAAAAAAAGAAGAAGAAATGGTCCCGAATGGGTTTCTTCCCATCACTTGTCCCCAGGGATCTCCAATGTGCACTTGACTGTGTCCTTGTAGAAGGTACCGGAGCAGTCTGATCCACCGAACACGAGCACTCTGCAGTGGACCCTGACATTTTCCTTGTTCTCTGCGTCTGTCAGGATGGAGCAGCCCAACTTTATCATGCTGTGTCCTGCACGAGGCTTGGAGCACAGCAGGGGAGACGCCACTGAGCTCCACATGTTGGTCTCTGAGGAGAAATCAAAGCAGTTTATTTGTGACACCTTAAATAAGTGTGACTTAAAGTAAAGGACACAACACCAACTTTTTTTTTACATTATGATAATATGATGATATGATGAGATTGAAGGGACACAAACTCACTAGTGTTGAAGATATGGACATCCTGCAGAGCTCCAATTGCACTGCAACCTCCACTGACTAAAATCCTGTCGTCTGAAACTGGTAGAGCTGCATGAAACCTGTTCATGTAAAGGCAAGGACCATTTGTATGTGAAGCATAATGGTTCCTTAGCCAGTTTCTAAACAAAATGTAAACTATTACTGTTAGTATTCATATTGAGCCAAAAATAAATCCAACAGAATGCAGAAAGATGGTATTATTTTATCATTGAGGATTATATCTTGTGTAAAAAAAGACATCAAGTTCAAACGAGTTCTGCTTAAAAGACACCAAACATAAAAAACCAGATGGCTACATTGATGACAGCTCTCAAGTTTGATTTGTCCTGCACTCACCCTCGGGGCAGCGGTGGCATATTCCTACTCTTCACAGCTGTGTACTCCATGAGGCCTTCATTTAAAAACAGAAAACACATGTTTATCAGTTTCTGAACAAGAAATGTTGCCCTAACAGAGCCACCAAATCTTCATCTTACCCAGATCTAGAACATGGAGATCGTTAAGGTAGGTAGCAGTCTTCCGTCCACCAAATATAATCAACTTATTTGACAGCAGTGTAGCCGAGTGCCTGTTTGATACCAAAAATAAGCATGGGATCAATATACTAAGAAACAGCATTTGAGGAGGACAGCGAATAGTGTTTTTTTTTTTTAAAAAGGATACTGACCCAAACCGAGGCAGAGGTCTGTCCCCATCCACAATCGGCTGGTACCAGAGTTCAAACTCTGGGTTAAAGATGTACAGAACATTGCTGCAGGATTTATCCACAGAAGAATGGCTCGGCTGAACTCCACCGAAGACAAACAGCTCTTTCTTGTAAAAGGCTGCCGAGTGATACGCCACATTTGGAACACTCCCCTTTGCCTAAAAGGGGGTTAATGCATGACAAACCAAAAGAAGATTGAACAACTATACATCTGCTTGAGTATTTGACTGAATATCAGACTGCAACTTGCAGCAAACCCACAGTGACAAGCCTCCACGTCCAGGTCAGAGTGTTAAGGATGTAGAGCTCATTGTAGCGCTGACCCTCCCTCAGACCACCGTAAACAAACACTGACTTGGAGTCTGGGTCGTAGGTCGCAGAGTGTCCTCGGGCACATAGTGGCACGGATCCAGAGGAGGAGGAGTTCATGGGGAACCAGAAGTCACTGTCTGGAAAGAGGTCAACAAGGACTTTATGGCTTTCCATTTTATCTTCATTCGTCCTCTGCATATAGTAAGCAATAAAAAACCAAACAGGTAATTAACAAAACTCCACTGACCTAACTCCAGTTTCCACAGGGAGTCCTTGCAGTGGTTTTGACCTGCTGTCTCCCCTCCGATGAGGATGGCTGTGTCAGGGTCGCTCAGACACATCGTATGGCTCCAGCGCATTGATGGACACACTGAAGCTAAAATCACAAGCTCTGTCAAAATCCATTTTTTGCAGTAAAATGTGACTGTTACGTTTTCTGACCTTCTCTGTTGTCATTCTTTATCGGCACAGTCATTTCCTCCGTGCTGTTCATCCTGGACAGCCTGATTTTCTTTGGGGATGAAGGCTGGTCTGCGTCCTCCGCAAGGCTCTCCGCGTCCTCAGTGCTCCATGTCAGGCAGCCTCTCTTACCGATAACTGTCCGTCTGGGTGTCTTATCCTACATCACAGATTAAGTCACTCATCTTGCATGCAAATATTAAAATACTCTTGACCAAGACTCTTACCGTAGGCCAAACTCTGGGTTTATCTTCAATAGTGGACTCACTGGTGTCAATTCTATTAACTTGAATGTCAGCATCAGAGCAAACACTATCCGCCAACAATTGTGATGAGTTGGTAGTTATCTGCAAGGCAGGAAAAATAATGAAATATTGTAAGAAACAAGTAGATTACAGCAAAAACAATTGTGAGCATATTATCTCACCGTTTCATTTCCAGCGCTTTGGGGTAACGTGCAAGAGAGATCAGTGGTATCGTGCTGTTCTGGCATTCTAAATGTCCTTTGAATCAGAGGAGTGCTGCTGAAGACGCTGGATTTATCCTGGGGCTGGTCACAAGTCTTAGGAGGAATACAAAAAAAACAGTCTGATAATAACCCAGAAGTAAATGAAGCATGCCTTCTATCTCTAGAAAATGTATCTTCAACCAATAGTGTTGGTATCAGTCAGGTATAAACAGTATGTTTTAGATGGAAGAGTAACAAAGTACATTTAACCAGTTAAGCCCCATGCCCCCGGTACCGGGCATTTTTCCTAAAAAAGGTCCCATGGAGGCCCACCGGAAAGGGAGGGACTTCGCCTCTCCATTAGCTGCTACTATAGAGAGGTGAAGTCCCTGCCTTTCCGGGGACCTCCATGGGACCTTATTTAGGAAAAAGTATGTATTGAAGTCAATGGCGAGAGAAAGATTATCTTTCGATCCCGTTTGAATTGTGCCACGAATTACACATAAGATGTTTGTCAATTTAAAAAGATAATTTTGCAAGTCAAAAAAATAAAAATGTGTCGTAAAACTGGGAAGTAACACTTTTTGTGTGAAACCTTTCAATGAACTACATCTCCCGTCTCGCACCACACACCAAGACGGCCATCACGTTGGCACATTTCACTTCTTTCTTTCAGAATGAGGCGAAAAGTATTAAACGAGGTGGAAATCACTACAAGTCTGGGCGTGTTGAGAGCTGTACATACACACAAGGGGAGTTAGTCGGTTCCGTAAGAGCCAGCATGCGGGACCGGGATTCTGGGATTTGTAGTCCTTCTTGTTGCATATTTTTCATAGTCTTATATTTCAACAGTTTTACGACAAACTGTGACTTTTTTGACATGGAAATGATTTTTTAAGATTGACAAACATCATACGTGTAATTCGTGGCACAATTCAAACGGGATCGAAAGATAATCTTTCTCTCCCCATTGACTTCAATACATAATTTTTCCGAAATAAGGTCGGAAGCAGATGGGTGGGATTTCGCCTCTCTATAGCTACTAGTGTGTATGACAGCTTCCGGTTCTGGGGCATTCTGGCTACGCATCACTCATTCACCAATGGGTAATGTTTAGATTAGGATTTTAGGAACTTCCCCTCGATTCTATTGGCTCTAACGATTAAAAAGAGGTGTCAATCAAAATCGACCGAGGGGGGCCAGAGATATGGAAAATGCACCCAAATGACCCCAGAAGTGGGTCTTTTTTTCTAAATCTCTCTAAAAAGGTCAAATGTCACTTATTTTGCATCAATCTTGATACAGGGGGTGTTTCTCAATGTCGAGTAAAGCTGCTCCAGAGCCACTATTTCAAGCATACTACGTCATCGAGTGCCGCCGAAGGACTGTTCCAATGCCCAGCATAATGGGAATTCTACCGAGCCCGGCGTACTTCGTAGCGAGAAATTTCGAGGCTGCACATGTGTAGACTCCGCGGTCTTAAAATCCCCACAATGATTTCCCCAAATCTGTGGCGGAAAATGTAAGGCGGAGCCTCTCATATGACGCACACCTGCACACTTGCTCGTCTGTTCCACTCTTCGTTTTCCGAATGCCAGGAAGTATTCTTGCCTCGCTTCTGAAGCAAGTGACTCGGAAGACATGTGCTACCAAGCAAGTCTACTCGACATTGAGAAACACCCACAGTACTTATATGTTATAGTTTGGATTCCTAAAGCTTTTAGTTTACTATCCCATCATTCAAGGGTGATTTTCACTATAAAGTAATGTTTTTGGACGGACACTATAATTTAAATTTCTTTTACCATGTTCAATCTAAATTTACTTTAAAATAAAAAATATTCTATATTGATTCTGACTTTTCTACATCCAAGTCACAGGTTTATCATTGCTTTGAGAAAAGGATTATTAATGTACCCCTTTTAGAAGTGAAGATATAGTCAATTGTTCTGGGAATGTCATTTTCAAGCCTGAGGCCTGAAAAACAGGCTCGGGGCTGAACTCCATTTTAGGCAACTTTACTACATTTTAGAGGTAAATATTGTTCTTTTAACTCCACTACATTTATCTGACAGCTGTAGTTACTTTAAAAACAGTTTTCATCCCTTTTCTGTTCAGTGAAAACCACATCTTCAGATGCGTTTGTGATCATTTGAAGGAAACATTATATCCTAAATTGGGAGATAAAATGATCCTGCTTTATAAAGTTAAATATAGCATTTCAAAACCCTTGGATCAACTTCACAGATGCTTCATCACAAAGCTTAAACTAGCTGACAGTATAAAAAAAGTTAAAATAGATCCGACCATAAAGATCTACAGCAGTAAAATGCACAACACACGATGACACAGCAGAATCATTAATCTAAAAACATTATATAATTGTAAAACATTGGGACCATTTTACAACTCTATCAACATTTTTAACTTAAACATGTTGCTGATAACACTTGCATATTTTTATATTAGTAAGGTTTTAAAAGCAGGGTTTTTACTTTTAGTGGAGTATTATTATGCTTACTTCAGTAAACTATTTTGATTCCTCCGAGTCCTGCACCAATGGCTTTTTTAAAAATCTCAACATGAACTGGTGACAGTTATTACTTACCTCTCCACACACTGTGAGCACAATCTTGCCATAAACTCCTCTCCTGCCTCTCGCTGCTGCCACTGTGACAATGTCAGGGCTCCAGTCCCCCTCCCAGATCAGGCACCTGAGTTCAAAGTAAAAAATGTACACATTTAGACTGTATAAAGACTGATATTAAGATGTAGACTTGTTCTCCACAAACCTCTCTTTGGGAGACAAAGTCCCAATCTTCTGGGCTGGTACTTCTGCACTGACCAGAACATCTACCGAGATTGTGGTCTCGCTGATTTTCCATTCTCCAAGACCGAAGATGACCAGGTGTTTGGGGAGAGGCAGTGGGATGTGGACCTGAAAACAACTTCGGTTGGATTTCCTGCGGAGGGCGAGACACGCGACGACATGTTCGAATTGGGGTTTTAAGTGTGTAAACTGCGGTATGAAGGGTTTCCAAAAAGGCCTACCTGATGAACTGACGGGGAGCATCACGCAGGGAACAAAGCACATAAAAACTCAGCCTCCCCATGTTGTTTCAGATACCTTCAGAGCACTGCAGCAGATACTGAAAAGTTTGGTGCCATCTGAAGCATCGGTAATCACTTCTGATTGGCTGAGGGGCGTTGTGAAGACGAACAGCTGAGACAGTAGGCCAATTAAGGTATTAATTAACAACACCTGCGAAGTTCCGCTGTGTCCCTGAACACTATGCAAGAATGAATTAAAAAGCTAAACATGTTTTCAGTGAATAAAGTATTGCCTCACCTGTATTGGCTGATTAAGTGGAAATAGGGCTAACTGGAATTAAAGAAAGGACACACTAAAATATATACACAAAAAAATAGCCAGATGAAATATTTGCACCTGTATAACAATGTCAGCCTTATATTTATCTGAGGAAAACACAGATTACAGCTATTTTTGTAGAGGAATATGCTTGTAATGTTCAGTTACATCATTGCATTACAATGATTTAAGTGTTAACTATTGGCGTATTGTTAGTATATGTTTTACTTGTTAGGTTTTTTTTCTACTGGTTAGGGTGGAATTTGTTTGTTATTATTCTGCCTCCCTCATATAGGCCTACAGCTAATGAGGGTGGACCACACACCTTCATTATAATACAGGTCAATAACACCACAAACTGCAGCCTAAAACAACAGAATTTAACATAACATAACAACTAGATTTGCTGGCTGCATTGGTGCAGATCATATATTTATTCCTTAGGAAACAGTGTATGGAAAAAACATGTCTTCAAAAAATATGTATCAGTACATACAACCACTTACTGCATGTCTCCATCAAATAAACAGTCATCATCAAAGACTTGTAATTTGAATTATAGTTGAAGTGGCATCATGTAAGAAATAAATACTCTTTATCCTACTGCTTTCTTTGAATTCAGCAAAACATGAGGGACACTTGATATAATTCTGGTTCTGAGTGGCCTTTGGGGAAAGCTGAAAATAAAACCTGGTTTCATCAGCACATCTGTAACAATTATATTGAACCCCTAATGACACAATTTAATGGAAACACAAGGGACCCTCCTGAAGGGCTTTCTAATCTTGGCTCAGCAGTGAGAATGTTATGAAACGTGGCGTCTTGGCGCACACACACACACACCTTAATGACATCTCTTAAGTCTCATGTTTCAACGTTTACCTGCTCTTCAGTTTCCAAACGATGAGCTACTTATCAGTGTTCATATAATTGATCCAATTCCCAAATGAAGCACAAAGAAAATCGTAATTTTGTCTTTATTGTGGAATATAAATTTTTAGGAAGAAATGTGACCTTAACTTACAGTACAGGTTGAATAAGCAAACATGGGAAGCTTTAAACCGGATGCTTTACAACGTCACTCCATTAGCAGCCAGATCTGTGCCATCTTTGGGAACATGTGCACAAGTGAGTGTGGCAGCATCGATTTGGAACAAAGCAACATAATCATTCTAAAGTATGCAAAAAAACAAACACTTTCACATTTTCTTACAAAGAACTGTGGACAAAATACAGTAAGAAGAAGTATTACAACTGCTCCCTACCTCCAAAACAGCAAATATAAGGGAGTCAAATGTAAATATTGAATCTATATTACATAATAAAGAGCTTTATGTGATAAGGATGGCTTTTATTTGTGTCATAAAAAGCACACTGTAAAACAGTTACCACTTGCTTCAGTACATTCAACTTATATATTTTTACTCCACACAGTAGACGGCTCCGTGCACAGATTTGTACTATATCATAATATTCCTCATTATCACGTGATTAAATAAAACACATACAAATAAATTACGATACAAAGCAGAAGGATAAATGCATGTAACATCAAAGCAACATAATCAAAGAAGGTGTATGCACACACACAGGCAACAAAAACACATGTTTAGAGCACTGCTGATTAAGCACCGGTCTTTGTGAAATATATTCTGTGCAGGTGTTCCCTGATCACTGCTACCATAGAAATGTTACAGCTGAAGACAATATATGTTTTATGACGGGCACTTGACTAAATAACACAGTGCATACACAGGAACATGGCACATGATATGCAAGGCTTCTTCAAATATCTCTCAGCAAGACATTGGAGCAAATGTTGCATTAAAAACTATCTGATCATAAATTCAACATGTGGCAACACAAGCTGAAAGTGATAAAAATAGATATACTTATATTTTATCTTTTGCTATATTATAACTTCATCTTGTTCCCCAACATTGGAATCAAAAATAGTTCATCGATCCTAAGAGTAGTATTTGATTGTAAATTATACATTCATAAACTTGCATCTTAGGCACTGTAATAAACTCTGTAGTAGAGGGTTTTATTTCGCCATAGTGAGTAGGAGTTGTCAAACTTCAGGAGGTAAGTGCCTTCACCTGGAAAATCGTGGCTCCCCCCCTGGACAGACACGTGACTGTCCTGGCGATATACAGGTAAGACTTCAGCCAGGTTAGAGTTGGTTTGAGTTTTGGAGCCTTTCTCAACATCTCCGTTACCGACGGGTGCTGCAACAGGGATCACATGAACACACAAAGTCAACACACCCAGCTGCAGGAAAACATATTACAACCCTATTATGGTGTGTTTTGTAGGAGCAAAATGAATGATATGTTTTATAGGCTCATCATTCTGAATTTAACTAACCTTCAAGCTCCTCCTCTTCTTCTTCATCATCACTTGACTCGCTGATGTGCACAGTGATAGAGCGGCTTGTGACAGGACTCCAGTCGAAATATATACCGAAGCCAATGTCATAACCATCTGTGGCAAACTCCCAGCATACTTTTTTGGCTTCAGGGACAGTGGGCACGTGAACTGTCATGATGTCGCCTCGGTACACTGTCACCACGCTGTCATCCTCCGTTCGAAGCTTTGCCTTCAGCTCCTTCAGTGCAGCAGATGTCCACGTAGTTGGGGGTTTCAGGGGTGGCATCTGGGCTGCCATCAGGAGGAAAACATGGCCATAAACAACTCTGATAATTACTTATCCTGATTAGATAAGTCTTTTTTTATGGTAATTTTATTTGATTTTCAAAGTAGGTTCATTTTCATAAGGCTTAATTTCATCAAAGAACAAATGTAATTTCTAACTTGATTTATGAAATCAAATTAAATCCAAATGATAGACAAGCACGGCAGCTGTCATGATGGCGTGCTCTGCAGGTCCTCACCTTTCATCTCAGCGGAGAGCTGACAGCTCCCAGCACTGTTGTTCTCCTCCTCATCTCCTTCCCCCGGGGCCCGCTCTGCTGGGGCCTCTTCATTACCCTGAAAAAGGCATACACACAAGACTAATGTTATAGCTGAGAAATTACATTATAATGCACTCTCCCCTCTTCTGACATATTAAACAATAAATACCTCAGAATGTTGCACTGAATCCTCCTTGTTTTCATCCATTTCAGCTTGGTTTTGGATTCGGTTGCAGCTCTGTGAAAGGTCTGTGTTCTGGAGCCTGAAAAGATAACAGAAAAAAAACATTACAATATTTAAACAGTGAAGATATTAGGCTTCAAGAAGTATTCAACGCGTTTCCTTACAGCAGCAGCTCTATAAGCAGCACTTTCTGCAGCAACAGGCTACCTGTCCAGCGGTCTGGTGTCGCTCTGCTTGGATGTTACCCCGGGGAAAGACGAGAAGGAGAGGGATGACAGCCGCGACTGGAGCTCTGATGTGGCTTCTAATCCCTCCATGGCTGTAAAGACAAGACAAACACCTCAGTCTGCGTGGCTGAAAAAGAGAAAACCCCGCCCCTTCCAACCAGAGGCAGCGAGGAAAAGATGAAAACACTCAAACTAACTTCTCCTAACATAACGCTGGCTACATACACTAACTACTGTTTGACATTATATGAAACATATAGACCAAATTATAGTTAAAGACATATAAAAGAGCTGTTATGTTTATGTGGTTTTTTCTCCCGAGCTTCATTATTAAAACTGGCATTAGCTAGGAGGCTAGCTGGTTAGCTCACATCAGCTAACGCTACCGAGCGGGCAGAGAAAGTGCAGCCGAGGAAGCTGCGGTCACACCGGGCACAGACTTACCACGATGTCACGCTAATGGTATGAAAACTCGACCCCGTTTTACTTAGGTCCGAATCAGGCTATCAGGAAATGCGCCTCCATATCACTGCAATCATGTGACGGGTCTCTCCAGTGTGCTGCTGCTTCTCAGGAAAAAACAGACCCTGAAATGTTGACACTTCCGCCTTTTCTCGAACGTTGACGAAACTGCGAGTCTGAGCATTGACATCCAAGGCTGTTGAACACATCTGCTTATGGAAAATTATAGAAAGCCCCCCCCCCGAAATATAGTGAATATGTTTGTATCTGTGTATATAAACTGTACCCCAGTGTTTTATTTATGTAACTGTATTTGTTTATGTTATGCCCAGCTGTATCCCATGTGGATTATGTAGGTTTGCTGCACTGTTTAACATATTTTTTGTACAATATCTTTTTGTCAAAAAACAGATCATGTTCAATAAATTCAATTATGTTCTGGTAGTATGCCAGAAGATACCAACTACTGCTCCATGGTGTAGATGCAAATGTATTGATTTAATATATGAATTATATTCATTATGAACGACATACAAACATATGAAATGCAATATCAGGTATCCAGAAAAGTACTGTTGAGGCTTTTTTATAGTTAAATAATCACTTTATATCATGTTATAATGTGCCAAACAACATATGCAACATAAGGAACAACATTTACTTTGAGTGGACATCCTTAAATAAGAAACTGTTAAGTTTTACATAAGAGTGTAGGCTAATTGTCTTATTTTGCAGGTGTCTCAGAGATGCACTGTTACATAGATTTGCTGCTTGATAGAAAGCACAGCAATGGCGTCTCCTTGGTCTGGGCATCAGCGAGAGAAATCCAGGGAAAAGGTCTTTGTGAGGAAAAAGGAGTCCAATCAGGAATGACATGACTAACTTAAACATGACAGAAATATATTATAGAGCGATATAGTGTTACACTCACTCCTCTGTAAGCAGGGTAGATGATGCACTGATGAAACTGTGTGTGTTTAAATCCACAGCGTGTGGCCATTTCTCTTTCAGGATTCTGTTGATAAGAGAGAGAGCATCACTGGATCCCAGACTGGTAGAGGTGCAGATATTTAGCAGGCTGTACAATACTGCACACACCCAGCTCAGACCAAGATAAATGCCACCTAAAAATAGGAATTACAAGTCAGCTTAGGCAGTCATACTTCAAATCAAGTGTGATGCATCACTGCACCAAATTTCAGAGGCTTTCTCTTTTATTTTATATAACATTACACAAGCTCTGAACAGAAACTGCAAAGTCTGCAATAATGAAATACATACTGCTCATTGTAAGAGGACACGATGCCTTTATAAGCAAATTATCTGTCAAAGCCGTGGTCAGATGAGTGCAGGTTAGCACCACATCTGCAGTGTCACAGGCGACAAAGCCATACTGTGGTTTGAGAATGAAGTCGTGTCCTAGAAGCTGTGCCAATCTGGGATAAAAGATCAAAAGGAACTGAATACCAATGACTGAAAATCCACAATGCTGTATGTGTTTGAGTGTGTGAGTACCTGTTGACAGGCACAGCAGAAGTGAAGCTGTACACAAGGCAGCTCTTTGACAGGTGAGAGTGGAGATCAGCACAGACTTTGGGGAGGTGAGAGGGCAGAGAGCAGAGGAACAGAACATCTGCCCACGCTGCCAGTCTGCGATTGTCAAATAAACATTCAACTCCTTTCTGGATAAATTCCACTGAAATAGGGAAGCAGCAAGGCAAACACATGGACAGGATTTAGAGTATATAAGACGAGAATGGAATAGATTTTTTTTTGTATAAACTGACCCATTGACTCCCAATCCAAACCATATATTATTTCTACATTTGACAAATAAAAGACACCTCTGTTTATTGGATCCAAGTGCTTCTATCATTTATGAATATTTTCTAAGGGAATTCTGCTCTTTTTAATTCGTTTCAATAGCTTTCATGTAATGTTTTTTATATGATAAATATATTTTATATGATTAATAAATGAAAATTCAGCAAATTCTTTATTGGAAAGTCTAATTAATGTTCAACCGCTTCAATGTAATGTGACCCAATATCACTGTAGCATTGTATTCCTACATCAGAGAAGTAAGAAGACACACTTATTTTTATGGGATTTTAGTGTTTTTAAATGTAAGGTATCTACCATGGTCTTTCGAGTCCAGTTAGTTTCTTATTTTGCCAATGTACCTGCAGAGTCTGGTGTTCTACTGGAGATCTTAATCTGTGATGGTTTGATGCCAGACTTTTCAAGGAGGGAGGTGAGCAACTGTCTCCCCATGTGACCCATCCCAATGATCCCAACGCAGAGGTCGCTGTCTTCTCCTGATACCAATGAGTCTCTGTTTGCTCTGCGGCTTTTGATGAGACATCTGTAAATGTAAACGTAAATCAATCAGAATAACTTAAAAGAGAAACATATAGCAGTGGGGAAAATAATAGTGAAGTTTCCTGTCTGTGTTTTGATTAACTCTACACATCATTTACCTCAATGAGTGAACCAGTTTACATAGGAAAGATGCGTGCGCGCACCCGCAAAACGTCAGTCCAGCCGAGCGTGCACGAAGGTAAAGTAACTCTTTCTCCTCCTCAGTGAGTGGATTCTCGAAAGAAAAACTCACATCAGCTAATAAGTCGTCCTCCATCACTATAAAGTGTCACAGTAAACAGTTATAAACCTTACGATATACTCAACATATTCTTTGTCCTCCTGTTTCCATGGCAAACAGACAACTTCCGATGTAACGTCCTATATTTCAAAATAAAACTGTTCGTGACAAACGCTGCGTGTTTCTCTACTGCGAATCACAAACAAACACGTAAATCGAATAAAAAAAGTAATAGAAAATCATGGCAATTTGAATAAAAACGTTTTGTTCCTACATCTGATCAAATATTGTAAATGTTTCAGCATAAAATATAGAAACGTTCAACTCCATTACATTTAGTTATGAAATGTAAATATCATAGCTACCCAACCACTACTCTTCTTAATCTAACCGTTTTTATTTCACTTTCATGCTTTTAATACAAATTCAACTGTACACTTATGTACATGAAATATTATCCTGTCCACATAAACAAGAAAATAGGCAAATCAAAAGCCTGCAACACAACATTTCACAACTAGTATCATCAGTCAAATATACACAAAAAAACAATTGTGCAGGATATTAAGACTTTGCTTCATGGTTTTGAATCATTTGAAAATGTGAGTGTCAGAATGGCACACACAACATTAGAAACTATTTTTAAATTTTAAAGCAGCTTTTTATAACAGCAGCTTATTGTGAAAATCCCACAACTTTGATCACAGCTCAAAAGAAAATTGTGAAACTTTATAACAAGTTAGGGTACTCCTCCCACCTGTCATTAATATAAGCGAGTTAACCGTAGTCACATAAAAGTGCTGACAACAGAACTTTACACAGCTGTAACACATTCAGTTTGCATGAAATGTTACACATTAGGGGGATATTTACAGTAAATAACAAAGTTAAATTAATTAAGGGTCATTACACCTATATTTATGTTTGTTGACACCAACCCCCACACACAATTTGTAAACAAAGCTGCTTGAGAATGAAGCCGATGTTGCACCTCATCTATCTATCTATCCCCCAGCAGAACATTTTCCACATAAAGACGATGTGTGGCTTACAAATCCATCAATCTTCATCCATCCCTTTGATTAAACTTACAGTTAGACGATGCTGATAACCATGAAGGCACTGTGAGGGAACTGGTAAGCTGACACAAGCTGAATCACAGTAGCTCAAAATGCCACAAGATGAACAGTATTTTATTTACACCGGGGCTGTATGAGCACTTCTGAGATGTTCCTATTCAAAACAACGTTCTGAAGAAAGTTTCCGACACATTTATTCTGCACAGTCATGGTTTCAGGTACCATATGGCAATAAGTGTTACTCCTCGCCCTGCCTCCATTTCTGAGACTCCTCCTGGCGTGCATCAGGGTGAATCTGGTTCCTCATTCCACCCAACACATTGGAGGTGGCTTCAGTGGCCATAATGAGGGGCTTCACCACAGCTGGGGGCAGCTGGCGGAGAACCCCCCCCACTGCCCCCGTCATGCCGCGCTGCTCATGCTCCCGGGTGGCTGTGTCATAGATGGTCAGGGCTGTGTCTGTGATGCCCTGTTGATAGAAACAACACCAATTCCTCATTAAAAACAGTTTCTCTCAATTACATTCTCAATATGCCATTTTCTGCACCTAGGGGTCTTTCAATCAAAACAATAACATAAGATGGAGTTTGGTGGCGTTGAGTCTTTCATTGCAGTCAGCATCGTCTAATTACGAGTCCTACAGTTTAGGTGGTGTTATCAGGGGCTGCATTATCTAACCAAAATAGTGTTTTGTAAAAATGTGGCTTAAAGCTTGATTCAATTTATGACAGCTTGTGACGAATGAAGTGGCCCAGTGAAGTGAAAATATTGGTCATGGTATCTTTAGGTTTGTTTACCTCTTTTACGACAGTATAGGCTTTGGCTACACCTTCTCTCAGGTCCACCGGCTGATGAGCCAGTCCGTAATGGGAGAAGCGTTTTATTCTCTTCGTGTCTCTCTCATCAGGCACTGGGGACACCATGTCATAGGCCGTCTCTGCTGCGGCCTAAAAACAACACAAAACACAAGAATGTCAGATTTATCGTAATGACTTTAGTAGTAAATCCAGACTTTTTTTTAGTAATGGTGGAAACGGGTCTTTACCTGGATTGTGCGCACCATCCTGTTGGTGAGCTCCAGAGCGGCCATAGCAGTGGAAGTTCCAAAGGAGGCCGTGCCGCGCTGGAACCCACGGACTATCCGACCGTCTTTCCTGTACTGCTCAATCGGGAGCCAGACCAAGTCCCTGAATCCCTGAACTGAACAGAACAATCATCTTAAGGACAGGGAAGACATTACCAGAAGTAGGAGGCTCATATACTGTAAATTACTTTCACTGCACTTATCTAAGGAAATCATGAATTACATTTTTCCCAAGCTTCAAAGACATTGATTAACCCCGGTTTTATCATTTTTTTAAATATTGGAGAAAAAAATATTCTGCAGTTATGGCTTACATTTGTAAAAGCTGCCAAGAGGTAACGATAAACTGATTGTATTGAATAGCAATTGAAACGGGTTAAAAAAAGACAAGCAGTAATAGGTCTAGCTCATTATATCACTTGTCTTAATTGAAGTGTTTTGTCATTTTTGACTAAGTGTAAGAGCCACAATGTGTGAATATATAAGTATATTTAAATATCATAAAATGTAATCGTTTATATAATTTCTAATTATTGTATAAAACAGAGGAAATGTATACAAATGTAAAAAGACAAATGCATATATATTATATGTTGATCATTGATGACACTATTAATACATTGACACCATGTGCAGCAGATTTCTTTCTTCTTTTTTTTAACCGTGTAACCAAATCTAATTAAACTAAAACTTAAATCTCCTCTCATTAGCGATTGACTGTAGTTACTGTGCCTATAGCTCGTTTGTTTTAGGTTGGATATGCAAACGGAAAGTCAATCCAATAACCATTAAAGGACATTGTGTAATGTAGGTTCACTTGATAACACAAAACGCCTGTGACTGGATTCATACCCTGTATATAACTCACCGAGCTGGACCAGAGAGTGAATGGGCCCCACACCCCCCAGGAGTCCTGGAAGCTGATTCTTCTTTATGTCATTAAGCCACTCGTTTATTGCATAGGAAAACAGCTTATCCACACCTAATAATCTGAAACCCATATTAGAAAAGGATTAATTTCCTGGGAAAGAGTATTAGTTCTGAGTATGTACAACACCTTTTAATAAGGTCTGCTACTTTCATGATATTAAATAATAAGCAGCACAATGGGGTGTGAGATATTACTGAGATAAACATACCCTTGTCTATAACACAAGCGCCGCAGTTTCAGCTCTGAACAATTAAGCTGCGTCAACCCGATAATGATCCCTGCAAATGTTCCCTGAAACAAAGACGTCCTTAAATCATTCACAAAGCACAAGTTAAATAATGTGATATTAATACAAAACCCTCTTAGATGATTTACCTGCTCCATTGCTACATGTTTCCCATGGTAATCCAAGCGAATGGGAACCTCAGAGGTAAATCGAAACTCCCTGTTAGGAAAAGAAAACGTTGGCAAACATGAAACAAGCTATTCCTTTTTTCTTTAAAAGAGGTTTCATTGTTTGGTTATTTAACACAGACCTAAAGAAGATTGGTTGGTCTGTGAAGGAAGGAGTGGAGGCTTCGTCGTCAGTCACTTCCTCCCTGCCACATGTGGAGTAACCGTTGTGGCTCATGCGTCTCTGAGCAGGCACTGAGATGATGGGGGCCGGGTCCTGGCTGCTGCCCGCCTGCTTGGAGAAGCTGCAGGAGATCTCTGGGGCAGACGCTTTCTTTGTGGTCACACACACAGCTGCAGAACAAATATTATCATGAGTCAGTGTTTCAAAGTGAAGGTTTTGTTCAATGTCTGAGTTTAGGTATTTGGGAATTGATTTGACCTTCTTGAGCAGGCGGGGAGAAAAACTCTACTTCAGTAGCAAGACTGGTGAAGAAGTCCTTCAGGAAGAATAGTGCGTCCTTCAAACAAACAAAAAACAAGACTTTCACCCTAATGTTGCTGAAGATGCTGGTACATACAGGGATAAATGAATAAATAAAGGTCCATATCTTATCTTATCTTACATTTAATATACGCATCTGCATGAGATTTTACCTGATCAATATTGAGGCGAAGAGGCATCAGTGAAACACGCAAACAGCACTCCTGTGGAGCCTGGCCTGACTCCGGACACATGTGCAACGCCTTCACTGTCAACTGAGACAAAAGAAGAAAGACGTTACACAAAGCCACAACTTGACTGTGTTAATGTGAGTGTGTTGGATCCCTCACCATGTTAGAGTGGGCTTTTCGAGGCATTTCTTTGCTGGAATACAAATAGAGGAACTTGTTCATCTGTGAGGTAGCCAGTCTGTCTCGAATCTCCAAGTCCTGCACGACAAACACCTGCCGAGAGACTGGCTGATCCATCCCTGGCCCAGAAGCCACCTGGGCCTGTGGGTACACCTCATGCTGAAATCTCACCTAGGGAAAAAGTCAAAGACAAGATTGTGAACGGTGAAGATATGATGTAAGGTATATGCAAGTAGACTATGGGCATGTGTTGATTTAGCGTTCTTCTCTCCTCATTGAAATTTGAAAATAAGATGCTGGCACTCAGGAAAGAAAATGCTATAAGGACACTGTAATTAACAACTAAGGCTCATTCCAGTCGAGGAGGAACTTTACTTTGCTGAGTTGTATCTCCATCAGGACGTCGGCGTTCCTTCCTCTTCCGCCTCCGGCCCGTCCTGAAGCCTTGGCCTGTCTGACTGGAGTTTGAGAGGGGGAGCAATGGGGTGTAGTCCTGCAAGGCAGAGAAAAGGGTAGAATCAAACAAGTCTGTTGAGCACATTTAATACAGTGTGTGCACGGTCACTCATTGTTTTGCTCACCCCCGGCTTCTTGCAGGAGAGGGTGTGAACGTTGCACCTCCAAAGTCTTTCCCGCCATACAGGTGCCAGATGACAGATATCTCTTTGATGAGGTAGCGCACCTCGGGGGTGGGAAAGTTCATGGCCCCGCGGCTGGAATCGCTCCCGTCTAGAGGCTGACTGAAGTAATCATCTTTGATTTCCACAGGATCTGAGGTAAGAAGTTTCACCACCGGCTCCTGGTCAAGATCCTGAAACACATATAACTCACAGTGAACCAACACACACTTTGAGTTTCTTGTAAACATAACTGTGTGAAGGAGTGTGTCCTGACCTGTCCTCTGGACCCGGGTGTCTCCAGGATACAAAAGTCGTCCGTCTCTTGGGCCAAGTTAGGGACAGGAGTGATGAGAGGTGAGTGAAGCATGGGGTAAGTGGGGCTTGAATCTTGGATACAATTCCCACTCTCATCCGGGAACAAGAATAGGTCTGAGCGAGGCGGGTCGTGGTCTTGATTTGGCTCCTCACATGCACCTATGGATGTGTACAAAAAGAATAACCTCTAGTTCAGCTATATCATTTATGGAGCTAAAACTTTAATATCTGCTGAACCTCACCATTCTGCTGCAGCCCTGGTGCCTGCTGCCCGTCGGTCTCCTCCATAGCTTCACTCATCAGGTCCTGCAACATCTGCTGCTCTGTCTCCGCAAGCAACAGTGTCTGAGATGTGGGCCGGCTGGTACGCTCCACCTGTACAAAAACACACTCATTTTAAACACGTACGACCAACAGAGTTTTTGTAAATCCTATTGTAGCTACTGTATGTTAGCGTTAGTGCTGACCTTGGCTCTTTGTGTTGTGCTGCTCTGCTTGGCTTCTGGTTCTGCAGGGGGCAGTAAGTCTCCGTAGCTGGCCACATACTGAATGAGGTTCATGAGGGCGGCGCAGGAGTCCGAACACGTTCTGATGTGAATAACGTCACTGGAACAGCGCAGCTCAAATCTGGGCTCCAGCTACACCCCAAGAGACAGTCAAAAAATAAAATTTCAACCATATTTTCAAGAGCACACATTAAAAAACATGAATGTCATCTAAAGACAGACAACTCTTACCAACTTTCCGTTCACTCCAGGTTTGACAGCTGTAATCCTCAGCTCCAAAGTACCCATGTCTACCACTTGGACATAATCTGTGACAAATAAATAAAAGCTAACATTGATCAACACATTGAAATTGTAATATTCGAAGCAGCCTTTTAAAAAGATCTTGGTGGTCATCTTACCGCGCGCCAGATTGACGGAGACAGCATTACTCTTGTCTGAGAGGAACAAAGCTGCTTCATCCAAAATTATCCTGTGAATAAAACATATTTTTCTATGACTCAATTGTGATTACATTTCTCGATTTTGTATCAGAAACACCAGTAGCCTGCTTATACCTGAGCGTTGAAGAAGAGTGGTCTAGAGAGACACTGCTGGAGATGCTGAACGTTTCTACAACCAACAGTGATCTGATTGGCAGGTAAAGGGGTCTGTCAAGAAAAAAACTAATTAGAAAACACACACAGATAACATATAACTCATATTACACATAAACTAATTTAGTGGGAGGTCTTCAGTCTATAATTACCTGTAGTCCAGAGAGCAGCTCCACAGGTGTAAATGTAAGGTGGTGACAGACGTCGGAGGGGCGTAACCCAACACAGGCTCATCGGAAACATTCAGAAAGTCGACAATCTGTTAAACAGAAAATGGTATTAAGATTACAGATGTGTGATTTGCTTGCATCATTTTCTTCCACTGCTTGCTGAACATCTGTGTGAAGGCAAAAGAAAAAAAGAGGTTGTGCAAAGCCTACCTGGTCATACCAGCCCAGGCTGGGCGGGACCACTCTGTGCTGCAGCGTGGCTCCTCTCACTCCAACAGCAACCAGGAACTCCTGCAGAAAAACAAAATCGGAATGATATTTTAAACACCAGTTCTGCCAAATGGGGAAATGTTGACTGAATGTGGTGGAAACAGGAGCCACAGCGCAGGTGTGGTGTCAGGAATAATCCAATAATCAACATATCATCATGTTGCCCAGGATTCAAATATTGACTTAAGCCCTGTTGACACAAAGTCAAAAGTTGTATGATCGCTAAACTGTTCACCCTCTACTGTACATCTAGCCAATCTGACAAAAAGTGACAAGATAAATCACGTAAAACCAGCTAGGTATCTGGGGTGAGTCTGAGATGCATTGGCAAACCTCTGTTTGCAGCTTTGACTAAAAAAAACAGTTTGACGACGGCAAAAGTGTGAATCTTGAAGCTTCAAAACAACTTCAAACCAATCGGTGACATCCCAGAGCCTATGGTAGTTTCACATCTTTAGGCCTCTAAAAACGATTAAAATGTAACTAACTGAACATCACTATGGGGAAACTGTTCACACTCTACATCTAGCCAATTTAACCAAAAAGTGACAAGATAAATCACGTAAAACCAGCTAGGTATCTGGGATGACGACGGCAAAAGTGCCAATCTTGAAGCTTCAAAACAACATCAAACCAATCGGTGACATCCCACTGTCTATTGTAGTTTCACATCTTTAAGCCTTAAAACTATTCAAATCTAACAAACTGAACATCACTGTATGTGGAAACTGCTCACAACTGGGACTGGTCTAAAAAGTATGTTTCTTCACCAGCAATCCAACACATTTCAACAGACAGCGAGGTGAACTACAGCTGTTCTTTCACCCGGCTTGGCCTTTTACCCGTCAGTGATTTGTGTAATGTACCTTGACATTGCGCTCTGCATTCTGTGATGAGATTTTAACAGCGACAGACAGCATGCTGCGAGCCTCCAGACCAATACACTCTGAGGGTGTCGAGGCTCTCTCAGGGGAAGTCTCTGATTGGTAGATGGTTGGCTCTAACCAGTGGGGATGAGTCCTGCATGGCAACTTGACATCTGAGCTAGACGCGCCTCCATCCACAAGTCCTGAGCACATCAACCGAGGGAGAGGCATAAGGGTGATGTAGAAACAGTATGGTTATAGAGGAGAGATCCATATATAAGTTACATTATGACAGGATACCTCATACACACAACAGCATTAGATTATATTGTAGTGCAGTCAGTTTACCTTGATGATACATGCAAATGTTACTGGTGTGGAAGCAGAGGTAGTGTTGGTCTTTATAGCCTTCGTACTGCGTCACACTGAACAGCACAGCATTCTTCACCTCCAGCCAGAACTCGCCATGTTTGTTTTTCAGTATGGTTTTATCCTCCTTCTGGGAGAAACATGGAAAGTCAATTCTTCTTTGCGTAAAACCAGATACAAGGAATGTCTGGATAAAACACTGTGAACTGTTTACCTTTGCATTAGTTTGAAGAGCCACCAGGCCGTGATTGACACTGATGATGACAGAGAACAGGCTCTGGGATGTCTTGCTTTGGGCTTTGGGTTTCTTCTTCTTGCGGGACCTGAGGCCCAGGTCAGAGGCAGGACAGTAATAGTGCATGGTCTCCTCGTCTGACCCACTGGTCTCATCTGTAAGCACAACACAAAGCAAGTGAATGATGAGACAATCACTTGATGGTTTAAACAACCATTTCAATTTAGACATTTCTACAACCTGAAGTATAATCAGGAGGAAATTGTAGATTTAGACATCAAAATCCTGACCTGAGATTCTGGTATATTTAATGTTTTTATTATTCTTATTTTCATTCTTACTTTAAGATTGTACCCACTAATAGACAGCTTTAGCTATCAACAGATGTATTCTGGTGCTTCTGCAACTCTCAATGCTTCTTGTCCCTAATTTAAAAAATACTAAATAACCTGACACAATGCAAATTACTGGGAAATGTTTTATTGTTGCCTCACCTTCGGGGCCGGTGGAGCGGAACTGGCTGAAGCTGTCCTTGGAGTAGGTGTTGATCAGCTGACTGGCCACAGAGAGCCCCACTCCATATGGCATGCTTTCCACCGTCTCCACTGGAGAGGGAGCAGTGGGCTCCCACAGCAGCAGGTCATTGTTTATCCTAAAATATTGGGAATATACAATGAATTCATGGAACATGGAGGGGTAAGTATATATTTTGATTTTCAGCTACTACATGTGAAAAACAAAGCAAATGTGGTACCTGTTGTGTAGTTTCTCATAAAATGCCTTGCTGGGCAGCACTAACTGCACATTGGGGAAACACAAGTCAAGGATGAAGCGAGAGTTGTTCATGGTTTTTTCCTGGAAATCCGTCATCTCAGCAACATCACCAGGGATGACCATCTGGAGTAAAAATAAAAATACAGATTATCTAAACTTGGTCATGTCAACAGGTTGGCATGCAAAGCAGTGCTCATGTCGCTGTTTGCATAATGATGCATTTGTAATACATTACAAAACATCTATCAGAATAAACTCGCTCCTGAATGCAAATGATTACACCTGCAACCTGCTTTGGACCGATATCTTCATCGGGACTGAAACAACTACTCTTGAATTAGGCAAATTCAAAACATTTCCTTTTCAAATATAAGGAAATATGTTGGCTGCATAATTACTTATAGTCTAAATAGTGTTTTTCTAATATCACACATATATTCGTGCATTGATAGCATGCCTTATAAATGGTCTAAATCGAGATCATGTTGAAAATGCTACTATGTATAAAGAGAGTAGACTTGCATAAATAAATGAGGCCGTATTTATACACCTGGATAGATTTTTAATCCAATGTATTTCGCTCAATTGCATTTTCTCAAAGTTTTAAAGCAGACATGCAAGTTCACATGTAATAACAAAAACAGTAGTTGGCTGTAAATTCAAATGTTTTTCCCTTTGGCCAGGACATACCTCTTCATTCTCATACATAACCCTTCGTGATGAAAAGGGCGATGGCTCTGGTTTCCCAAAGTCACAGACATCCTTCAGTGAATGGGCAGCCCCTTCCTCCTCTTCTTCCTCAAGGGAATGGTCCTCGGCCCCCTCCTCTTCAGCCGTCACCCGCTCAAGAATAGAGTGGACTGCTGTGGGGTTCATCTTTAGGACAACCCTGACCAAAGAGATGCAATATCAATGAGAGGCGCCTCTGTTATGGACTGATAGGGCTGAGGTTGGTTAGATCAACTTACCTCGGCCAATCAAATTTGACACTTTCAGATGTCGTCATGTCTCCATCCATGGTGTGGGACACCCTGAAGAACCGAACAGCTGGTTGATCCGGCTCCTCCTGAAACTTCCCTGTGCAAAGAATACAAATAAAATCAGTTAGGGAGATATTTAAATCATCGAAGGGAAGTTTAAATTAAAACATTTGACCACATACCAGTAAGCTCCCTGAAAGTGAGCTCCATTTTGGTTTGGTCAGGAGAGCTGCCACCCATGAACTCCGTCTTCATTTCCAGGTCTTCCAGCTCCAGGTAGAGTACTTCCTTCTGTAGGGACTTCTTGAACCAAGGGCCCCTCTCCTGATCTGAGCGCAGGTCAGGGATGGGGAAGCGGATTGCAAGGCCAAGCAAAGGAGCATTGACCGTCAGCGAAACATGACAGTTGGTGGGAGTGTGGCTGTCATCAAGGAAAACCTCTGTAAAGGCCTTATGCTGCAAAATTAGTATAAAAAAACACATAATTAGACATGTAAGAGAGCCTAGACATTCAGTATGCAACTGTTTTACCTTTTCCATCTCAGTTTATGTCAGTGGCTTACTACTTTTACATATACTTTCTGAAATATTAATACATGTGTAGTTCTTAGGAAGCCCTTACCAAGCTGACATGTTTATTATAGGATGTGTACATGTGGGAGGCCATCAACTCTGTGGTGGCCAGCTTCTGAGGCTGTAACAAGGAGTTGAGGCGGTCTACGATGCTGATGTCCAGCTCACAGCGCACGGGGCCCAGCTCCACCTGGATCTCTGCTTTCCTAGGAATGGTGCTGAGGCGAACCTGGCCGCCCTGCACACACAAACAAATGGTTTGACTGAGGAGAAGCAGGACAACAACGCTGATAATGTGTTTAAATGTTAAGTAGTGCTGTGGTTTTGTATTGGACTAACAAATGCTGTTACCTGAGGGCCCCTGCGCTCGGCCTGTTTGTAAAGCAGGTGGAGGCAGCTGGTCAGCGGCGCAGCAGCATCAGGGGTGTCAAATGTCAGCAACTGAGGTGTGACAGAAAATGAAGTGAGAAACTCTCTTAATGTCATGCCAGGTGTAACATCGGCTGTCACGAAATCGGCACATTATATATATATATATTATATAACACGTCACTGGCCAGAAAATCTGTCATGATGGTATTTTTAATGAAAAATAATAATAATGTTATCAAATGCATCTTTAGGCTTTTATTTTGGTTAAAGATTTAAACTCAAAATATTGTTGTATTGAGATGGAAAGGCTGTATAGATAACTGCACAAAAGCGTACAAGAGGAACAAACAGGAAATATGTAAGAGGTGTTGGAATAAGAAATATGTGACTTATTAAGATGATATTCAAATATCATGGGTATCTTTGCTAATGGTATATTGCAACACCCCAAGGCGTATTGAATGTATATATGCAGTGTGTAACCAACCAAAACTGCACAATAGGCTAAGCTCAGGCTGGAAACACTAACCTCAGTGTACTGAATGCCTCGTTGCGAGCCACCAATGGCGGCCTCAGAGGGAAACAGACACTCCAGGAACTCCATCCGGTTCATTGAGACGTCCGTGCTGAAAGTCCGCAGACTGGACCCCTGACAGTGCTCATAGCTGATCTTCAGGCCCTGGCCCACAAACCTGCACATATAAACCCCAGATCAGACAGACATAAAACACTTGCATGAAAAATCAAGTGTAACCTTGCAGAAAATATGTAAAAAGGCCACCTTAGATGGTCATGGGGACAAGCTTGGTTAAACACTGTCCGAGACTGAAGGAAAGCAGCTGGAGCGAGCCGGCCCGGGCCCACCATGTTGAAGAACTGTGCCGCCATGGGGCCGAGGGGGCTGGGAGAAGCATCTGGGGTGGGCAGCGGGTCGATGTGGAGGACGGCCACAGCCAGGCTACTCAGAGTTAACCTCAACACCAGCTCTGGCCTGGACTCATCACCGTGCGTTTTCGTTGGATGGGCTGAAAAACAAATGCACAAAATACTTAATTTCAGTGGTTTAATGATAACCATGTGCAACAGAAGGTTAGGTTTGTAAAGAGACCAGCCGGAGTCACTGACTATCATATCTACAACCAAATATAAATAAAGATCTAATCGGGAAGACATGCTGATGTTATCTCTGGTTAGAATGAAATCCTACAAAATACTTTCCAACTTCCAGCACAGTGACAGGTGTAACAGTATTTAGTAGTTAAATGTGTATAAAGTATGTAACACATAAACAGGTACATTGTGATACTTACATGTCTGTCTCAGTAATTTTTGAGGGAAATGGGAATCCCGTTGGGCGGGACTTTCATTAGTGTGCTTTTCTCTTTGCCGTGGGACATCCATGTAATCATCCCACAGAGCCTACAAACACAGACATGATGCCAGATAGTTTAACAACAGAAGCTCATTTGGGAGAATTTAACCACAGAAACTAAAACACTGAAGTGTCAATTATAAACCTCGTAGTTTTACCAGCACAAAAATAAATAGTTATTGTAATGCACTTTACTGAGGATATCAGTATTTAGGAGAGTAACAAGACCACAGGGAACTCTTATGATCAAATTTGAATTATCATAATAATATTTTCACCTGATTATTTTCTTAATTCTCAATTATTTGGTTTACAAAATGTCAGGAAATGGGATAAAATGTCCATCCCAGTTCCTTAAAGTCCAATGTGATGTCTTTAAATGTCAGTTTTATACAGTTTTATTTCACATAAAACTGTATAAAACTGACATAACAAGAAAACTAGAAAGAATTTTACGATAAATCACTTATCTCTTTTTTATCTATTGACTAATGGACTTATTAGTCACCCTGCTTGTCCCTGCACTTATTTCAATGTGTCTTCATGACTGCAGTCAAACAGGCGAAGACTTACTGTGGCATTTCCAGAAGGAGATTCTCCTGGTGAGGCAGAGTAGTTGCTATTGAGGGACAGATCCAAGTCAACGGTGGGGGGTTCACCCAGAGGAGGAAGGGATGACAAGCTGTGAGACATGTCCATGTCTGCCATGGAGAAGAACACATCATCTACAACAAACACAAAAAAACAAATCAAAGGAAAGGAAAGGAAGAAGAAAAAAGAAAAGTCATTAGTTAAATGCAACCATGACTTCTGATTTGTCTAAAACTCTAGGGTTAGGGCATCTCAGTCCAACCTCGACTAGACACAGTTCTGGTGGTCTGGCTCTCAAAGAGGTCTGCGTCCGTCCCTGGCCGAGCAGTGTCCTTCTTCAGACAGCGGTTCAGCTCCATGTGGAGTCGATACTCATCCTCTTGCTGTATTGGTCGGCTCTTTCTATCCTTGGCCCATTCCTGTGCACCTTCACACAAAGGACAATACTCTCTTCTTAATATATGTATTTAGCACATTATGCAACATTATAACCCTGCTTGATCCACATGTTCTCCTTTATCTTTCCACAGAGGGCTTCTCACCTCCACCAGAGAAAGCTCCACACAGGTCCAGAAGAAGATGAACTTGCCGTGGGGACAGCAGAATAATAAGTGTATCAATATGTCCAACAACATCCAGCTGAAAAGCAAAGCATGTAAAACACACTGGTTAGTAACAAATACCCATAGCTTATTATATTGATTTAATAATGACTGATTTACCTTTGCTCCAGGCATAGCCATGTTGTTTTTCAGAGTGAGGGACAACTCAATTTGACCACAGAGGCTCCCGACCTGCACAGGTTCAAAGGGTGTTGTGGAGGAAACAGGCTCTGTAAACTGGGGATGAGGCTCACATATTATTTTGGGATTCCAGCTAGGTGAAAGTTTTGGCTCATTTTCCTGCAAAATAAGAAAAACATGTTGTTAAACGCTGATACATACATACAGTTTTATGGCAAATGTCAAAGACTTACTACACTAACCGTTGGAGTGGGTGAAGATTTACAACCAGCACGGGACACATCTGAGAACTCATCCCAAAATACGGTCATGTCTTCCATCTGCAAGTTTTTATGTGCAAATGTGGTTGGCTGATGCACATTCACACTGGAGCTCTCCTCGTCTGTTTCATCGCAGTAAACAATCCTGAAAGCAACAGCAGAACACGATGAGCTTAACAAGGACCTGCAGTTTAATAGTGATAACTTTCATACTATTAGCTGCAGCTTGTTTAGCACTGTGTGAATACTTTTCTGATTGCTTGTAAAATCCTGATCAAGGACTTTAAAGTGATAGTGGATGAAGGCTGGAGTTTCTAGAAGAGTAGTTACTGATTTTGAAAAATAATTAGAACATTTTGGAGATTGCCTGATATCCCATGGACAGTCCCCACTTACTTTTTTATTCGAATCTCAAGGGCGATTCCAGTTTTAGAATGTTCGGGAATGTGTTCGACTCTGAGAACAGTATCCAAAAATGTCACCTTAACTCTTCTCAGAACTGCAAGATGGAAAAAGAAAAGAAATGACTTTAAATAGACATAGGCTGGTTACAATGTTTGGTTTGAATGTTGCCTAGCAGCATAGACACACCGTACCTGTCTCTATCGTTTCTGCAAACTTCTCTAATCCCTCGAAAGGCTGGAAGCTCTCTCCCATATCATCTGTGAGTTTCTGGCTGAGACATTCTTTGGCAAGCTGCATGCTGCTCGTCATGAAACTGGACCAGTACATGGGCTCTGTGCCAGATGCTGGAGGAACAGCCAGTGGTGACACAGTTACAATAAGACAACATGTTTCACATCGATCTAAATGCTTTAATCAAAGAGGCTGACTCGACTTACCCATTCTCGGCCTTGGTCTGAGCACCATCTCCAAACCTTTGATCTCCAGGGCACAGTTTTCGTGCAGTAGGGCAGCCCATGGAACCGTTAGAGAAATTGTCTGGATGAACCCCGCGATAACCTCAAAAGGTGCATCTGCTGTCTCTAGGAGCTCATTGAGTGACTGAGAAAGAAAAGAAAATGCTCACGTCTCTCCTAAATCAAATAAATTCATCTGTTGTACGTCTGCAACAAAACAAACATACCCATTTATCCAATGGCACTTGTGCAAGTGTTCCAGTGCCTTGATAGAGGTCTAAACTGAGCTGATCCAAACTCAGTTTCTCTTGAAGGAAGTTTCCAAGGTACCTATGCAGAAGGTATCTGCAGGCCCGCTTCTTGATGGATTCCGAAAATGGCCAAGGCATTTTAACTCAAAAGGTGAACAGTACAGTGTAATAAAAGGGATCTTGAGGCCCTGAAACGGAATGCTATAGCTACTATGAATGAATCACTAGTGGTACAGTTGTGTCATCCTGTCGACTTAAAGACATTGGGAAATCGTGAACTCAATCCCCCCTCACATCCTAAAATAAGGGTCACTTTGGAGGATGTGTTGACACTCAGGGTTGTGTGCAGGAAATGGTCTGACTCCAGTTTGCTGCTGCTATGGAAAGACCTATGACAAAACACACACATGCAATTTGACACTTGTCACAACATGAGCGTTAACACATAATGTTTACAACACAGCTGAAAACAACAAGCTGCATTAATGCGTCAGTTTAACACAGGAACTGATTTAAATTGCTCTAGCATTATAATAAAGGGCAACATAACATAACATGTGCAGTTAACGTTAGTGTTATTCTAAGCACACATTTATCCTCCAAGTGATAAACAAGCCAAATGCACTTGCGAAATAATCGTTAGCATGACAGAGAGTTTATAGTTAATAGCTACCCTTAGCTATGTTTACTTTATCAGGGCTGTCATCGTAGTAAATGGATGGGAGTCGCGCTAGCTAAACAAAGGCAGACATTTAGCTTAGTAGCCGGCTAGCAAGGCTAGCGACGTTAGCTAGCCTAACAACCACTCCTGTCTGCAGAGTGAGGCAACATTAGCATAGCCGGCTAACTGTAGCAGTACACGCTCGCTGGATGGCTAGCTAACCCTTAAATCAAAAATCTCTCAAATTATGACCCTAACACCTGCACTGTACACTGACAAATAACACGTTCCACATATACACCAGCGCAATGTGACTAAACAGATAGGCAAATGAACACACTTGAAGATATTAGTGCAGCTGTCAAGTTACCTTCTGTGTGAGTTGTTTACAAACACTCTCATGACTCTGCACCGACTGAGCCCACTCACTCCGGGGACCGGGATTAGACCATGACGTCACAATATGGCGGATCTGTGTAGCGCACCGGACACTTCACTGGGTCAACGTTTATTTTAAGGTCGTTATTTAGACACTACGCAGTCACTATAGAACAAAGCGTGCGTTAATGTGATTTCTGTCTCTGGTTGTCTACACATTTGATGCTAAACAGAGAGCTTTCTGGCGTCAACGCTCACTTGACTGAGCCTCTCCACGGAGAGCTCTGAGCGGGCTGGAAGCTGCAACTAGCCGGAAGAACACAACCAGCGAGGAGGTGAGGAAAATGCACGCATTTTGGTCAGAAATCATTCATGCAACCTAATAAGACCCTATGCCTGAGCCCCGTTAAATTGCGTGCAAAATGAATGCCTTTTAAATACGAACAAAGTGATATAAATAGGTTTGAATGTCCCACAGCAACATATTGCTTAATGTAACACGTTAGCCCTCAAAGTAAGCTACAGTAGATCAGTCTCGCTAACTAGATGTATGTATTATGTATGTACATGCCGAATAATAACATTTTCATTAAACTCACTTTGATTCAGTACTAACTATGATGTCAGTAACCAGGTCTATTTTTGCTTCAGTCGTCTTTAATAGAAGGCTTCTCAGAGTCCTCTTGATGTCGCTGTTATATCATTGTTTTTATGAATAAACTTTCTTTTTTTTAACACTTTATTTATTGTTTTTTCCCCACACATAACACAATAACAGAAGAGTACAAATGCAGGTGCTATACAAAAGATGACAAAACAATTATGACAAAACAATAATGATAATAACATAAAAAGACCATTACAGTAATAGCAATGACACAAATAAACCAAAATACACAATGACATGATAAGACAGAAACAGAAAACCCCTAAGACCAGTCTACACCCCTACCTCCAGACAGGGCCACACTGTGCAGTAATCGTCAAAAAAGGAGAAAGACAGATTCAACTACTTGCCTCAGCATGTGTATTTATCATAGCACTTCTTCAGCCTACAATAGGTTGTTGGATGTTTTCTATATAATTCCTAAAGCCAGACCAGTACTTATCAAAGATATGTGGCTTTCTTTTAAGATTAAAGATATTTTTTTCTGACATCATGTAGGAGATTTCTTTGAGCAACATGGAAATGGGGGTGGGTTCTGCACTCTTCCATAATAGAGCAATACATTTGTTGCCAGCGATCATGGCCGGTTCGATTAGGCGCACCTTACTCCTTTTGTGTGAAGGGATGTCAGAACTGTCGCCTAACAGGGCTAATTTAGGTGTACAAGGAATCTCAAACCCAGAAATCTTTTTAAGAATCTCCCATATTGACCCCCAGTAGTGCTTTAATTTATTACATTCCCAGAACATGTGAATTAGGCTACCTGTCTCTGTAGTACATCTAGGGCAAAGATCTGAAATTGATTGATTTATCCTATGAAGTCTTTCTGGTGTAAAGTAGGTTCTGTGAATAATGTTAAACTGCAAAAGTGTATGTCGGCTGTTGTACTTGTATGAGAAAGTGAGGGCCTCCTCACATAATGACTCCCATTTTAAGTCTCCAAAGGTACAACTCGGGTATTGCTCCCACTTCGTCCTAGAATTCAGGGGTTTAACCTCTGTAAGGGCCAGAATGCGGTTATATGTCAAGGAAAGTATACCTCTGGAGTGCTTAACAACTTTTAGAACATTGTCAATTGGGAGAGACTTTAAGGGACTGGGGTTTTCCCCATGAAGTGTGCTTAAAAAGTGTGTGACTTGCAAATATTTTATGAAATTATTAGTTGGGAGGCTGAAGGAGCTACACAGCTGTTCAAAGGTCATACGTAAGTTATTCTCGTAGAGATCCCCACATGTTTTGATTCCCTGGGTGTACCACATCTTGGTTATCCCATCTCTAAGTGCACCTGGCAGAGCAGGGTTGGTATGGAAGGGAGTATGCTGTGAAGTACGATAACACTATTGAGATGTTTCTGTATATCAGACCAGATTCTAGCTGTGTGATTAATAATAGGATTATCAGTATATGAATAAACATTCAGCATTAACGCTGGTACAGGATTTATAGATGGTAATATGGTGGTGCTGGAAAGCAAATACGCATATTTACTCAACAATTATTGTACACATCTACCACATTTATTTGACAGCTGTATTACAAATATATATATAAAAACAAAAATAATATAATCATCTTGTAAAATGTTGACTACAATAATAGAAAAACACTGTAAACACCATTAAAAGGTAGCAGTAAAAATCATTCTGTATTACATTTATGATAATATAATGGGGCTATTTTTCTGAAATGAAATATTTTAATTTAATAATAATAATAATAACAGTAGTACAACTTGCTGACTTGCTTTCTTGCTGACTTGCTTTGTAAACTTAATATTCACTTCAATAGTAAAAGAAGCATATGTCTCAGTATATTTGTATCTACTGTTTAATTGTTGCTCCATACAGGGTTCAGTCTACACAACAGGAAAGTACAAATGTCTATTAATATCTAATTCAGCCTCACCAGCACTGTATGTTGGTTAAATATACAATTACAAAGGAACAAGCCATAATAACATTGAATTCTCCTGTAAAAACTGACAGATCCATTGGGTTTTAGCCCTAAAATCCCCATCAGATCAGCAAAGTGAAAGGGACTGGATAAATAAAGGTTGCTACATGTATCGCAATCAGTGGTTACATTGGCAAGGGCTCATTGCCCTTTAAAGCATCCAGCCAACAAATGAATGTTGACGAAGCCCGATACAATGCAACAGGTTTAAGCTGTCATGCAGAAAAAGATACTCAAATGAAAGCGTGGCGTAAAGATCCCTGACATAAACAGGACAAACCAAGATGAATCTTGTTTAACAGTAATGCACCAGTGCTAAAAGGACACATAGTGGACATGTAGAAATAGAACAGGTATTACTTTGAGTTGTAAATATTAATGGATTACAATGCAGCACATTCATTTTTGGGCCTTTGTAAAATGAGCAAATCCTAATTATTGTACAAAGCATTTAATATAATTTATAATCGTAACAGAACTTGTGGTGTAGACCTGACCATTTAAAAAGAGTTCACTCTGCACTAAAAAAAGGTAAAGGAACCGACTGATGCATGTTTGTTTCAGTTCTTCTTTTTACTTTAGATAACAGTTCTTAGGAAACATGTGATAAACCGACCCTGCTGCTGAATCATTAACATGCTAATGTGTGAGTGCTGCCTTGAAGCTTAACATAACTGTACAAAGCTGGGTTATTGGATATTTTAAAAGCTTTATGACCAGATGTAACAGGTGTAGTTTAAGACTTAGCTACTGTTTCAATTAATATGTGAATCTGAAGTGCACTCGTTTATTGTAGACATGGAGAATGCTTTTTTTGTGCCAGTCAGCTAGTTTTAAAAGCATATAATCTGCACATCTGTGTGTCAGCTGAGTCAATCAATAATGCTGTTTCTGATACAGGGGATGGAGATAGACTGCCAGCCCGAGGAACCGGTCATCTCTTCTTTTGACGAGGACTGTGTTGAGCTTCGTGACGTCAAGGACATGAAATTGGAGGCAGAGGCAGTTGTCAGTGACGTTCTTTTTGCCGTTGCTGAAATGCACTTGTCACAAAGTTTCAACAGCGCGAGGGATGTGGCCCACATAAACGTGGAAACAAAAGAGGGAAACCGGTATTGTCTGGAACTCACAGAGTCTGGACTACGGGTAAGATGCACCGAAAGTGAGATGTGTTATTTCTTGTTTTATTACTCCTTTATGGCCTGTTTTATAATAAATCACTCTACCATACAGGTGGTGGGCTATGCCTTCGATCAAGTGGATGAGGATTTGAACACCCAGTATCATGAGACTATTTACTCTCTTCTGGACAAGCTGAGTCCGGGTTACAGAGAAGCCTTTGGGAACGCTTTACTCCAGCGGCTCGAGCAGCTGAAGCAAAACGGACAATAAAAAGAACCAACATGCTGTATACGTGGAATGAGGGCTGATGATGCAGGGTGTATTTGGATTTATCCACCTGCCTAGCTACCATTACAATAAGAGCCCCATCAACTTATTTTCATACCATTGAATGACTTCTACTGCTAGGTATTGGCTATATGGGCTCTGTTGCAACATTGTGTTGTTGACTTTACTGTGGTAAGATCTTCCAGCTTCCACATGATTCAAATCTGTGTCAGAGCACATCGTCCGAGTATTCTGCACCTTTTTGTATTTGTAATTATCCGAGAAGGTGGAGCAGCAAGTTGTGAATTATTTTTTCAGTTTATTCCTCTACCCTGCTTTCACTGTAGTTCTGACCTGATATCTGCTCAAATATACGTAGCTACTACTTATTCAGCACCTCAAAGAGCCAAAGCTATATTCTTTCAACTCAAGCTGCCTTAATGACCTTTGGTCAAAAAGGTTGAAAAAAAAACATTGACTCAACTTATTTTGTATGGCTGACAAGGTAATGAAACATTTTAAAAGTGGGTTACTGTCAAGTTTTGCTTCAAGATTACATTTTCCATACCGCACTACACCTCAAGCTTGCTTTTGCTATACAAGTAAATAAACTCCTTTGTATTCATGTCATCAGACCTTTATGTCATTGTCAGAATCAAAATCATTTGTTTATTCGGTCAATTGCCTGTTTATTGTACACGTCACCTCGTAAAATCCTACTTTAGGGTTGTAAAACCCCAATTATAAGGGTTATTATAAAACGTATTTAAAGAAATTGGTTTTCTTTGGATTTATACAAATATTCCTTCTGCCGGTCGTTCTTTGGACCAATACCTTCTCAGAATTGTTTGTCTTCATTAAGTCATGTATAACAATCTACACATTAGCAAGACACATTTACTTTGAAATAAGGACAAGTTGGTTTAATCACTAGGCCAAAGCCAGTCTCTGCATTGTCATAAGATTATTTCGGAGAAATTAATAAGTTTGCCTTTTAATTCAGTGCACATATGACAGGTATTTTGGATCATTTGAAAAATGCCATAATGGTCCTTTAGAATAATTTGTACTCAATCACTGTTCATATCATAGTCACACTTGGTCCAGATTATGTTTCTTTATTATAGTTTATGTTCACTTACAATTTCAAAATGTCATTCATCTAGTAGGACAAGGTCAGTAAGAAATATAACAAAAGTGTTAGTAAAGAGGAAGTACAGTTTGTACCTTTTCCGACTACACAGCAGCAAGTAAGACAAGTATGCACTTTAGTGGAATGTGATTCAGCGTCAATCACACAAATCAATCGCGTTGCACATCCACATTTCTTAATGTTGACTGTTAGGCAGGTCACAGACAAAAATCAGCAGTTCAAGATGTGCAAGAGCAGCAGAGTCTTGTGAACTAGTGAACGTGATTACACCTTAAAACAAACACAATGAGGAATGAATAAAATTAGATCTTACGAGAATCATTTAGTATCATTGGTTTTTACTCAAAAGCTAAATCCCTTTAAAATCAAACAATCACTTGGTGAAGAGGTACTTCTGCTTGTTTAGCTCACAATCTTAACTGGGAACCGGATGCAGAACAGGTCTTTTTGGTTGTCGTCTCTCAGTTCCCACTCCACAACCAGCTTTATCTAGAAAGACAGAGTGCAAGCATGATCAGTGAACATAGTGTGTTTCGTTTCTTACAATTAAAAAAAGTTTTGAGGAAGTGAAAGAACTAAAAATGGAAATGTTTTTTAGTTATTAAAAAAGGAAACATTGTTGCCATTGTAACATGTACTACTTACTGAAGGATACTGAGTCTTCACAGGAAGCAAGTTCACATAGTTATACTTCTGCTGCTGCTGGATTGGACACACGATGCCAGACTTGCAACCATCTTCAATGGGAATGGGGAATGGGATGGGAACTCCAGCAATGATACCGTGAACCAATGCTGTGCTTGTTTGGCTCAACACATCTGTAGATAAAAAAAAACACAAAAGTGAGGTCAAACGTTTAACAATATATGCATTTATGTTCTGGATGTTTAAAAGTTAAGGCACCCTTACCACTGTTGAATGTCACATTGACACCGTAGGACACTCCTTTGTGTAGTTCACATGGCTGATTGGGACAAGGGGTAATGTCCACTGTGACTACTTTGCCAGTAGTTGAGCCTGAAGAGAAAATGTTATCTTTTATAAAACACATTTTTTTTTTAAAGTTGACGTTCAAAAACAAAAAAGGAAAGATTAAATGATAAAAAAAGAACCAACTGGCTGCTTCATGCTTAAGTGAGCCAATTATAAATGTTGTTTAAAAAAAAATCCCATATTGGGATCAATACAGTTCTATCTTATCTTATAAGAGGAGTTCATTGTTGTGACATAACAATTTGAAATATAACAAATGGTGTTCAGAAGAGGAAATTATATATGTGGGACGGGACCCACTTTATTTGGACCCAGACATGTAGTACCGAAACAGTCAAGTAAAAAAAAAATCAAATCATAAAGAAAGTTTTTAAGCAATCCAACGCTAAGGGTGTAGGTTGGACAAAACAGCTTGAATACGTTACCTTTGTGGTCTAGTAAACTTTTGGTATCAGTTCAGAATCGTTCAAAAATATAATTTACAAGTAAACAGATTGCTTCTCTCCCTATTGGATTCAGTTCAATGTGTTCAGCTCTTTAGAATTATTTACAGAGCATTTGAACGTCAATAAAGTGGCGTTGGTTAAGTTAAGTAAATCTTACCGCAGTCAAGGAATTTCACCGGCTCCGCACAGGTGAATCCCATCAAGCAGAACAACACGATGATACCAGCCCGGACATCCATGCTTATTTCTTTCCGTGAGACCCTAAAACAAGGAAATATTGAGCATTACTCAAAAGAGAAGTACATTACAGTGAACCATTCTGATTTAGAGTAGTCAGCAGAAAGTGTTTAATCACATGACTCAAGTGTTTGTTCCCCCAAATGTCCAGAAAGTAGCAGTGATTATAAAAGTTAGACACAAAGAAGACATACTCTTTGACTACCTGGCATAATGAAATAAAAAAACAAAGATTATTATAGTTATAACATAGGAAGTTAAAAATGAACACACCGCACCTTGGTAGAGCTTCTTACAGTGTCCAAGTGAAGCCGAATACTGCCTGGCACCTTTTTATTTCCGTGTATCACGAGATTGCTTAACGCCTATTTATCGGAAGTGGGTATTTATTAGCCCGCAGTTTAGCCTGTCAGAAATCCTCTCAGGCTAAAAAAAAACCGCCTTCTGTGATATAATCGCCAGATAAAACCCTTAAGCAGTACATTAACTAATTGTTCTGTAAACTAAAACCTCAATTTCAATATATGGTGGCATATGTTTTGGGGGAACTGTTCCTTAGAGGCAAAAATTAAGGTATCAAAAACCTATGGGGCCCTTACCCAAATACCTTATTATTGGCAAGTTAACTGACGAATCAAATGTCTATATTGCACTGATCTGGGCGTTTCTATTTGACAGACAACGATTTCCGCCAATCAAAGCGGGATCTTCCTCTACTCGACGGTTGAGGGTGGAACTTAGTAACATTTGTTATGGAAGATGTTATTCGTTGGAGCTATGATAACTGCGTCAAAGTCAAAAGTATTAAGCCTTGCCAGGTAACGTTAATCTGTCTTTTATCGTACAAATAATTTGTTATCATAACCTACAAACAATCTCCTTGGGGGTAGGAAAAACAACGGTGTGTTAACGTTTTACTAGGTAGTTAGCAAGCTAGCCCGTAACACGCCACTGTTAGTTAGCTAGCACGTTCTAGGGGTTGCTATTTCCTTCTGCTGTATTGCTGTCTGATGTTTACGTTACAATGTTTTACAGGGCTTCAACTATTCTGAGCAACATCAATGTGAGCCAACAGTTACACCGACTTCCCCTGAGCCCCCAGCCAGCTCTTTACACAGCGGGGCTTCAGCGCTTTAGCAGCGCCTCGACCCAGGAGCAGGCTGCTGTCTCAGCTCCATCTGAAGTACGACTCACTGAGTCATGTGTGAAGGTCAGCAGATACCCATGACAAGCATCATACTGTTTGCATGTCTCTAAATAACTTAATGATACGTTTGCAGATTGAATAAAGCTGGTTCTGTACCACAAGATTTTATTTGTCCACATCAGAGCCAGTGTTGACAATGGAAGAGCTACAATATAAATGTATCACCGCTACGTGTTACTGTGTAGGGAATATGGGCTTTAAAGTATAGAGTTATTCTACATCTGAGACTTTTGACTGTGAGTACACAAATGTATTTGGATTCTGATTTACTGAGGTGCTAATTGTTTCTTGTCAAAGTTGTTGATATCTGAAACCAGTTATGGACATTCCAGCATAACCTTTTGTGGTATTCGACATTGTGATGCTGCTACTGTAACTGCATGTGTTGGGTTGTTATTTTAAATTGTACACGCCATTAACCATGCTCATGTCCCTCCTTTAATCCAGAGACTAGAGGAAATCATGGACAAGGGTGAGTTTCTGAGAATCCATGTAGAGGGGGGAGGCTGCTCCGGGTTCCAGTACAAGTTTTCTGTTGATAGTAACAGGAATGAAGATGACAGGTAAATGGCCACTTGGAAGCTATTGTTTCACACTCATTGTTTCCTGATTGTTTATTAATCCCATCAACTCTGTTTCCATCTGCATCCAGAGTGTTTGAGCAGGGAGGAGTGGGCATTATCGTGGATCAGGACAGCCTGGAGTTTGTGAAAGGAGCCACTGTGGACTTCAGCCAGGAGCTGATCCGCGCCACCTTCCTCGTGCTCAAGAACCCTCAAGCGGATCATGGCTGCTCCTGTGGAAGCTCCTTCTCTGTCAAGCTATGACCCTGCTTGCTTATGTCAGTGTTACTTAACACCCCAGTTCACCAGTTTATTAGGACTGTGTACAAAATACAGTAACACATTATAGACACGACTCGATTCAATGCACTCGTACTTCTGGTTTTGTCGTTGTGAAACTACTTGAACCGAATGAAATGTATCAATTAATCATTATGCTATCATGCAGATAGTGACAGTCAATGCTAATTGTTATCCGAGTACACAATACTCAAATGTAATCTGTCATTCCTGTCATGTATTCAAACGAAACAAAGACCCTGTTCAAGTGTTTTAGTATACAGTGCTAAGGTTTGCCTCTCTGTGTAAAATATGTAAATAGACCATATATTGATAGCAAAGAGCTATAATATATTTGTTTTGTCTCAAATAAAACTGAGTGAAACTACAATATTTCTTCAGTCAATTTCATTAAATCCAGATTAATTTCATCATTGTTAGTGAATTCATATCACTCGAGGTCATGGTTGCTTTTTTATTTTTATTAAAGTGGAATTTAAGAAACATCTCACAAAAAATATACAAAAAGAATATATACAAATGATATTTACACTGGTATAATGTAAATCAAAATATGCAGCAACAACTTTTTGTATAGTTAAATGTTTTGCACTTTTCATATTTTCTCTGATAAAACATTCCATTTAGGTAATATATCTGACCACACAAAACATTTACTTACTGTTTTAAAAAGTCACACTGTTCATAGTCATGAAAATGCGACAATTATATGTCATAGCAGCACACTGAAAAGTGAGAAAGAGTTGCAACCGTGTATTGAAACATCAATTTACAGCTGTTCTTTTTTTTTGTTTTCTGTGGAATTTGGTTCGGACAGATTGTCTTCCAGTAAGCCATGCACACCCACTAACCACAGACAAATCCTCAAACAAGTATGCGCACGTTTTACATGTCATGAGGGGAACACTGCCGAGGGAGCTTTGAGGTCAACCAGTCAACAACACAACCACGTAAACAAACCATAAATGAACCATGAGGGTTAACACAGTGACCAGGTCAGGTGTACAGTGCATAGTATGCTTTGGCATGCTGACATCCAGAACATAACAGTGGATGTTACATTCAGGAGGAAGGCCACAGGATTTGCAATCACCAGTAAAAATAGAACAAACAAACGACTACATGATCCAAAAAGTAAATCCAACGTAATATAAAAAAGAAACAAACCCTCATAAATTGAACTCTCAGATTAAGGCTAATTCAGTTTGCTACATGTTTTAAAAAATGGCATCGTCAGTAACACAATTGAATAGGCCCGCCAAATGGCAAAACTGACTAATACACAGATGCACTCATTCTTTCCAAACAAAAAAGCTATCACTAAAATGATATGCACATACTGTTTAAGAGAGATGTTTTTCTTTTCTTTTTTAAGGATGATGTGATGTTGTGAGCGCTGGGCTGTATGCCCTCCGCCTGTGTTCACAATCAGGACTAATGCTGTGACAAAAATGAGCCTTTCACATTAATGCATGCACCGAGATTTGAGGCAGTAAGTCTGATCACCACTCATTTACAAGCTGCCAGGTCTGTCCTCCTCCTTCTCTCTGTTGAAATGTATCTGTTAGTGGGATTTTTTTTCTCTGGAGATTTTGGTGAGACTTTCTCTTCAGGATGTTCCTCAGTGAGGGGCATGGACACACCTCCACACAAAGAGGCTGGACAGGACACGGAGGAAATAGTATTTGTTTAGTATTTGATTGTCATATGATTTGTAAACTGGAGTGTTATTTTGAGCTTCAGTCTTACCTTCTGTCATCTCCGCCGGCGCTGACCACGTAGCGATCTCCATTTGTGAAGCGAACATTAGTCAAGTGAGCAGAATGGCCCATAAAGCGTTTGTGTTTGGCCTGAAAACAAATCACATACACGTCATTCAGGTGGAAACTAGAGTCAAAAACAGATTTATCTAAGTGGCTTTGTTATACAAGGCATTGTCATGTTATACTTTAAACAGACACATTATGTACTGTATATTAGTGAGTCACTGTAAAACGTGATACATAGTTATCATGTAGTCAGATAAGGCAGAATAATCACACAGTCACAGGTTAAAACATTTGTAAAAATAAATGTGAAGCCAGTTTTCCATAAACATTTCTTATGTTCTAGTTCGGTGGTGGTGCTAATTTGGAAAAGGGTTATACTGTATGTGAAGTGCATGAAAATCTCAGTTTTTTTAAAACCGATGGTTTTGAATTATTAAGTTTGTAAAAAAAGTGAGATGATCCTGGTTAAAGTTGGTGCAGTAGACATGTTTCATTAAGACTTTTCTCTCTGTGTTTCCAGGCTTCATGGCGTCAAAGTCTGAATTTTTTTCAATTTAACACATTGTGATTTACAGTGAGTATTGTGAAAGTGCAGGGAAATATTTATCATCAGACAAATGGCATATTGTAAACATTAATGTCATAATACATCAATGGCAAAACGACAGGCAGTAATAATAATATGATGCAATCATACTTACAAACTTCTCTGGACATGGAAAGTCTAACAGCTTCACCATTCCAAAGTCATCGCCTGTGACGATGTTAAGGCCCGAGTGGGACACGCAGGCACACGTGACGTCCGCTTTGTCAGTGTTGCGGGACCAGATCCCTACCACCTCATCCCCAAGGACACTGCATACAGAAAGGGAGAGACATTTCATTTTTGGCAATTAGGTTGTTTGTAAGTGCAAGTGAAGTAGAGATATTTGTCTCAGAGTATGAGAAAAAACTCATTTTGAGAAAATGGCATTTAAACATGTTTATGAAAAATTCCATACATTTTGCAAGACCACTGTGGATAGGAGAGAATGTTTAACCTATAGATATTACCATGAAATCCAGTTGATTACTTGAATTACCGGTAAGACAATTATTTTTAGGTTATCAAATATGCATGTGATGCCTTATCTATTGCTAACGTTTGGTGAATTCAGGAGCAATCCTAGAGACACAAACAGAAAAATTGCAGTAAAACTAACACCTAAATGTGTATTTTGGATTTCTTTCCACTGAGGTAGATTTTTAATTGAAGCCAAATAGACCAAAAAAAAAAATCTAAAAATGGACCAGTACATAAAAAAACCACTATGTTTTTGCCTGTTGTGTCTCTCACCTTGTCCAGGTGGCCCAGGTAATCCTGTCGATTTGCGACTGCTCTGTGACCTGCTTCCCGGATGGCACCTCGTACGCCAGTCGTTTATAAGAACCTGTGGAGATCTGTTTCAAAGCAGGACAGGTTAGGGAGCATACATCCAGCATCTGTGGAGACAAACATGCCCTGTCATGCAAGTTGACGAACCCTCCCACGGTTTATACCTGGACGTAGCAGCTGTCAGCAGAGAAGTCCATCTGCATCACGAAGCTGGGGATGTCCCTGCAGCAGTTGATGCGGTTCAGCTGCGGGCCGTACGTCAAGTCGTAGAAGTCCACCGCGCTCTCAGTGGAGCCGACAGCCAGGTATCGAGAATTTGGACTGAACCTGTGAGACGGATCGGAAGTGTTACAACAGCCTGTCTATACTGGCATGTTTACTTTGTGGTGTGTAGGGGAGGTTTGACATATTTCTGTCAAAACACAAAATGTAAATGTGAAATAGTTACCCATAATAATTTGATTTATATAGTGCTGGTTTATTGGTGCAAACATGTTTTGTTCATAGCTTCCCTGGAGGACACACTGCGGTTTCAAATGGGCCCCGGCAAATGTCTTTACTTATGCATTATTGAGGACCATTAGCCCCAAAATAAATCTGATAATATGAATGGTAAAACTAACAAAAGAGTAACCTCTTTCCTAAAAAGTTATATATAATCTTTCAAATAGATAAGGGTAGACGTTGTTGTGCCTTTCATATATTCAAAAAAGAAAAGTTCTAGCTCACTTTAGCACTCTTCATGCATTAACCCAACAGTGTCTTGTGTAAAGTGTCATACTTTTCGTTTCTTTTACCTAATATCCTGGATAGGCGAGCGCCGGTCCCTTTTCTTGCCCCAGATTTTGAGGGATGCCACCAGCAGGATGATGAACTCTCCGTTCTTCATGCCGATGGCCACCATGTCTCCTTCAGGACTGTAGGCGATGGTGCGCGCTGGGTGGCCCAAATTCACCTTATTCAGCATCTTCTGTTTCCCCAACACGGCCATGCAAGATAAGCACCCACTTGTTAACAAGGTAACTTTGTGAATAAGGAAGCCATGTTAACTTCACTTGCAACATCTTGAAATACTGATTTAAGTTTGGAAGTACTGGGACTATGTTTCTGAGAGGGTGGAGGTAACATGGCTGACCTTCTCTGGGATGTCCCACAGACGCACTGTGCCGTCCTCTGCAGCAGACAGGAAGACATCTCTGGAGGGATGGGTGCCCAGTCCCCAGATCGGTCCGTCCATGTGTCCGTTCACCAAGATGTTGCACGCTGCATTCTTCTCTCCTACTTCAATGATCTCTGCATTCCTGGTCCCCACAAGGATTTTACCCTGACACAAGAAACAGCAAAACATGTTAATACACACATGATGGGGTTTGAAAATCATTTTATTGAGTGCGATATTGTCAGTAACCTACCTTTCCTCGGCAGACAGAGCGAACGCAGTCTATGACTTGTCCTGTTTCTAACCGAAATGCTCTGCAGCGTTTCAGCTCCTGGTCCCAGAGCTTCAGAGCGCCTCCCTCCTTGGACCTGTGGAGGAAAACATCCATGTATTTAATCCCTCAGTTTAAGAAAAACACAGTTTAAATAATATGTATGCGTATCTGTGGGCTCCCTAATAGGTAATGTGTTGTATTGATGTAACCGAGCAGCACTTACGGTCTCTCCTTGCCCCCGGTGACGATGAGGCCGTCTCTCAGTGTGGTGTACATGGTGAACACAGGGCCCGTATGAGCCTTGGCCACAATTCTTACTAGAATGTGTTCCTTCCACACACACACATCCCCACTTATGGTACCTGTAAAGGTCAAGTTATTCTGAAAAGAAAACAAATCTGCACTAATCTAGTGGCCTAACAGCAGAGCGAGCAATGCAAAAACAATTCACAGCACAAACAACACAGCTTGGGATCAAATTATGATGTCATGTGTGATTTTGAAGACTTTATTTTTGAATTGGTTGGAAGGCACTTACAGCTCCAAATGCTACAGACAGCATGGTCTGCATCCGGGCGTCCTCTATGGAGCTCAGCACACCTTTTTTGCTGAGCAGAGCGCGACCGGCTAATGTCCAGAAGCGCACATGCTTGATCCCCACGGACACAAAGTGTGTGTCAGAGTCCGGACGAAACTCTGCCACAAAGATCCTCTGGGTGTGGCCCACCTGGCTGGCCACTTTGGCACCTAAAAATAAAGCAGAGTGCATTAAGGATTGATCTCGCAACTGTAG